CTGAACAAGTACACATTTTTGTTTAGGGGACAGCTGATGCCTGCCTCCGGGTGAGGGATTTTCTTGCTATGTAGAAGACCCATTGGTGGCCTTGGGCTGTTTTCTGCTCTTTGGTCGGGTTGTTGTCTCTTTGACACATTCCTCATTTCCATTCTCAATTCTACCTTCAATTTTTGTTTATATCAAATTATAACTGGTTCTTAATTGATTTGTTTTAGTAATAGAAATTAAATATAGCTAAAACGTTTTAGTGACTTTTTTATTATCTCCCTTTAAAGGAAACTTTTTACTGTGAAAAAAAGTGTCCTCATATTGAAAATCAATATTTACAGGACAGAATTTAAAAGTATTTATCATAAAATTATGTCCAATTGAATGGACACTTTTTCACAGCATCGGACACATTTGAATATACCTTTTCTGGGTAAAAATGTTCAGGTGGACACTTAATCGCTCACAATACCTCAAGAACGCTAGAAGTGACAATACCCAAATCTGTACTCAATCTGTGTTTTGTCGTATTAAATAAGCATTGTATATAAATTTCATAACATTTGCTTGAGGCAAACTTAAGTAAGAGAACAAAAACTCAAAATTAGGCAATTTGTGCATTTGTAAAGGGGCATAACTCTAGAACAGTAAAAGCTAGGCCACCAAATTTCAAATTTGATCTATGTTTTGTGGTAAAAAGCATTGCATATAAGTTTCATAATATTTGTTTGAGGTAAACTAAAATAAGAGAATGGGAACAAAAAATTCAGCAATTTTTCCATTTGTAAAGGGGCATAACTCTAAAATGGTAAAAGTGACGCTACCCAAATTCATACTTGATCTGTGTTTTGTGGTAATAAGCATTGTGTATAAGTTTCAGAACATTTGATTGAGGCAAACTTAAGTAAGAGAACGGAAACCAATTTTGGGACATATGGACGGACAAGGGTAAAACTTACTGCCCCTTCCGCTACGGCAGGGGCATAAAAATAAATGTGTTTGTTTCCAATGTGAAGACCCTATGAGTGAATTAATATTAGTTCCAAAAAATGCCATCTTTAATGACTTGACAACAGTATGGTAACTATATCCCTTGTAGGTTTGGTTAGCTTTTGAAGTGAATGACGACATTTTTGTACTTTGTATAGAATATTACCATGATAGATGAGATGTGAAATACCTGAACTTATAATATCTCTGCACGTTGATTTATATTTACGAATGATGTCCCTGCAACGATGATAAATTCAATAAAAGTTTTGACAAGTTTGTGATATCCAAAACCCTGGTGTTATAATTTTTCTTTAAAAGAGTTTTTTTTGCTACATACAAGGGTAAATTGAACAAGTTGAAATATATAAACACAACATGATGGTGCCAAGAAAATGTCACCATCTAAGAATGGATAATTAAAAATAGGAAATGAAAAATCATTTCTTATATATAGATATCAAAATTCAATAGACCATTATTGAGGGAGAAGAGAATAAATAATCTCCAAGGAAATGAGATGTGCCAATGCTAAAAAAAAATAAATACCAAATAACATTGAATTAAAATTAATCGTTCCCTTCAAACTGACTTAATCAAAACTTTCAACATGTAAACTATTTCAATTGAATACACTGTCAGATTATTTTACATCTTTTTTTATAGAAACATTTGAAATTCAAAGATTTTGATAAGAATGTTGAGGGGAATCTTCAGATGTCATGGATGTGTAGCAAATTTTTTATGTGCCATTTATAATAATTGACTTACTGATTTCCAGAAAGAGGCATTAAAATTGCACTTTCTAAAAAAGAACAAAAAAACATAACTTTTATCAAAATTGGTGTTCATTCTTCATTGAGGAAATATACATTTCCTGTATTCAAATATACATATACAAATACCTAATGCTGAGATAATTCCAAATACTGTTAAATATCAATATAATGGGGAATATACAAATAAATTTATTGCAGAAAATGCTTAGGTAAGAGTTATGAAGTTGTGTTTATTGCTTCAACCAAATTACTGATAATTATAACTTTAAATAGACCTTAATTATTAACTTATATCAGATGATTATGACACTAATTTTACAGCTATTAAGTTCAAGATTTTGTGTATTCAGTTAGATGTGAAATAAATTGAATCCACAAATTCTTGACCTCAATACCAGTATGATTATCGACTGTCATGATATATTAATTTATCTTACCTCCTATACATTTCTAGGAATATGATTGGTTAAAAGCAACTGTGTGGAGACCATGTATATTCCATATTAGGTTAGTAGGCGGGGCTTATTTCAATACAGGGTTAGTAATGGTGTTACGTCCTTTTATTTAAACAACACGGTGTTGAGGGAAAATCTTAAAGGTTTCAACAGACGCAGAAATGGATGATGAAAGATTGAAATAAATTCTTTAAACACATTTAAAACTAACAAGTTGATATTGTTGGCATTTGTTTTTGTATAAACCAATGGAAGTAGGTTCTTAATACTAAAGGTATTGAAGACTTGATCACTTTGATATGCCACTAGTCTAAATACCACATAATAAGATAGTCGGTAAGATAAATTCATTACATAGTGTGCTAGTGACCTAATACGATATATATGGGGTCAGTAAATTCCATATGGAGATTCGAGCTGCGCTCTCACCCCATATGGAATTTACTGACCCCATATATATTGTACTAGGTCACTAGCACACTATGTAACTAATAATAACTGAGGTCAATTAATAGATATAAGAAGATGTGGTATGAGTGCCAATGAGACAACTCTCCATCCAAGTCAAAATTTATAAAAGTAAACCATTATAGGTCACAGTACGGTCTTCAACACGGAGCCTTGGCCCACACCGAACAGTAAGCCTGCATTTGAGTGGAGTTTAATCCAATTAATACTTACACCTCTTGAGTGTAATTGTATGAAAATCATGGCAACTGTCCATCATACTGTTATTGTATAAATATTCTCATTTGCCTAATGCAAGAATTGGATTGATAGCATTTCAAAATACACATCTTGAACCAAATCTTATTCAATATCTTACAGGAACTTAAGATACTGATAAAACACTTTCATTATTCTTACAACTGCTTAAATTTGATAAATCACATTTTCCACATTAATTAATAAATGGCAATTTAGTATAAATTTTGATTTACAAAGGAACTATATGCAAGTGTATATCTGAAATAAAGAAGATGTTCGCCCAATCTTTTCTTGATTTAAGGTCAAATAACATATTAAAAGTTGGCAGTTGATGGTGTAAAAAGTTTCTGCAAGTCACAGAAACATATAATTATTTTCATGACATGTCTTCGACTTAGAATTTTGCACCATCTCCAAATCCAGAGTGATCACATAGATCCAGCATGGCTGAATCAAAATTAACAGTTAGGGAGCACAGGAAACGATTGCATTAATTAATTCTGAATAGACAAATGCCTTTTATTTCACAGACACAATATTGCATAATTTTACTGCATAGATTGTACTGTTGACACATACAGACTTTCGTTCACATACTGCACATATATACATGTCATATTATAACACTTTCATATTCAGACTTTCTACAAGTAAACAGTAATACAAAAAAGTGCAAAAGTACATTAAAAATAAATATAATATTTTACATATATGTACACTAATACCAATACATTTTGCCTTTTTAAAAGCAGGTGCTATTATTATTGTGTATGAAGAATTGTACCTATTATTTTACATGACCTATAAAATGTCTTAGTCATTTTTAGCAATGTTTTGGTATGATTTTGACCTGAAGTGTAGTTATTTGTATGGAATTAATGACTGATATTAAACATGTTACACTTGAAAGAATTGAAAATAAAATATGATCACTTTTTTTTTTTTTCATACATCATTCAAATTCACTTAAATTACGTTTTCTTAACATTTGTGAAATATTTTACAGCAGTCTTAATACTGCAATTGTAACAGCAATTTGGTTCGGTAGTAAAATTTGTCAGCCAGACTTTTTTTCCTAGATAAACAAGTCCATGACCATTATCTTACTAGGAATGTTAGTCCCAGGACAAATTTCTCTAGGAAAATAAGTCTTTACCTAGTAAAATATGTCTGGAACTTATTTTCCTAGGAAAAATTGTCCTAAGACTTGTTTTTTTCTAGTAACCTTTATTATATTATAAAAATTATTGAAAATAAAAAAAAAACATTTTCTTAGTTAAGATTGGAAAGTTTCATTATTTTTTCCTATTAAGATAAAGGACATGGATGTTATAACCCAGGCATGTTAATGATATGGACATGATGTCCTAGGAAAATTAGTCTGGGGACATAATTTTTATTAAAATAATTATATTAATACACAACTCTAAAGCAATATTAAAACATAACATTCAAATTTACCTTTTAAAATAAAGGACATGGACGTTTCTACCTAGGAATATTAATGACATGGACATGATTTCCTAGGAAAATATGTCTGGGAACATGAATTTAATTGAAATATTAATGCAAAATCTTTAACAATATTAAAACATAAAAATTGATTTTCCATTGTTTACATGTAAATAATTTGTTTCATTAACATTTTCTTTTTAAAATAAAGGACATGGACATGATTTCCTAGGAAAATTAGTCTCGGGACATACATTTTGTTAACATATAAATTCACAACTCTTAAACTATATTGAATCATAACATTTGAATTTTTATTGTTTATGTGTAAATGATTTGATTCATTAATATTTTTCCTATAAAAAAGAGGACATGGACATTTTTACCTAGGAATATTAATGATATGGACTTGAATTCCTAGGAAAATTAGTCTGGGGACATAAATTACTAACATCGGACTAAATATACTAGTAAATTCTGTAACCATGGACTTTTTATACTAGTTATATGTGTCCACCCGGACATATTTTACCAGGACATATTTATCTCTTACACAATAAGCTCAAAATGTTGAAATGTTAGATATAAAGTAATCTATTTAAATATATATATATATCTATCAATTTATTGACATGCATCATGTGTAGATTTATCTCCATTTTGGTTTATTGCACTTTCACAAAATATCCATGTTTACCAATGAACATCCTTGTCATATAAATATAATATATACATCACAGGTTGTACACAACCACACATCAAATCATATGTATCTGGACTGATGCTTTGTTTAAAGGTTTAAGTTCATGATTTAGCTTTGAAGACATATAAAATTTACAATCGTTAAGTTTGAGAAAACATGAGATTTTTCTTCAATCCACAGTCAATAGATCAATGAATTTTATAGACACTTAAATAGTGAAATAGTAAAAATTCAACATGACCAGTAAAGTTTCCAATTTGTCATTCACTCTTGGGCATTGGAATTTTATTGCCGTTTTAAATACCAATGAGATATACATTGACCTAATATTATATTATTTTTATACTGCAGCTAAAAATGGCGTTAATTATAGTTTTAAAAAATGTTATAACAATTTTTCACTCCTAAACGAACCCAAAATTGTGAAGAAAAGTGATGCGACATGAAATCAACATTGCATGACATATCACATCGTTACTATATTTGGCAGATAAAGACAACAGGAAGTTTTTCACTCCTAAACGAACCCAAAATTGTGAAGAAAAGTGATGCGACATGAAATCAACATTGCAAAATATATATATATCTATCAATTTATATCAACCATAGAAAGAAATACATCTGCTATTGACATGCATCATGTGTAGATTTATCTCCATTTTGGTTTATTGCACTTTCACAAAATATCCATGTTTACCAATGGACATCCTTGTCATATAAATATAATATATACATCACAGGTTGTACACAACCACACATCAAATCATATGTATCTGGACTGATGCTTTGTTTAAAGGTTTAAGTTCATGATTTAGCTTTGAAGACATATAAAATTTGCAATCGTTATATTGTTGATGAGTGATGAATCTGAAAATGCATCACACAGTAAAAATCAGGAAGCTTCTGCATATCACTTCGTTACTATATTTGGCAGATAAAGACAACAGGAAGTGTTCTAGCTGCAGCATAAAACGGAATAATCAGGTTGACAATAATCTGTATATAATTAATTCATACAAGATTTAGAAAAAATGAAGAAAAGAAATAACTCTCTCACTTAGCTATCAGTGAAAGATAAATGTTCATGTCTACCTTTTTCCTAGGAAATATACAATAATGGATAAATGAATAATGAAAAAAATACAATGAAATATAATACTTTAGAAATGGCACAAAGATAAAACTGAAAACCTTTCTCTGTTATATGAGAAACGTATTATTCTCTTACTTCAGCAAAACTAAGTATTCAATCTCAGATGACATACCATAAGATTTTTCAATGTCTAGCTCAATTCTGAACACATTATTTCTTTCATTTATGTATAGACATTGTGTTATATAACACACAGTAAAGTTAACAGCTGTCAAAAAGCTATTTAATACAATTAAAACAAATGAAAACACAACAATAATACAATTGTCAACCTTATTAAATATCACAAATAAACTTGAACAACATGTACACACAATAATATATCACAAATAGGCACTATCAAATATAACTTGTAATTACATTACAGTTTCTTCTATTTCCTCTAAATATGTCTTCTAATATTAGCAAGTTCATCTGTGAGCAATTGCTCTCTAACAATACAAGCATTCCGTAAAGAGGAAGTTGATCAGTGATGAATGTGAAAAGCTATCACACAGTAAAGCCTGCTCACATGAAGCTTAATACCAAGTTTCAAGAAGCTCTGGTTTGTAGTTCCTGTCAAAAATGCAACCAAAATTTCATACACGGCCATTATGTTACAGATTATCTTGGTATTATGTAAACAGGAATCTGATGAGCTATGAATCTTTAAATGCATCACAAAGTAAGTCATGCTCAAAAGAAGTTTGATATAAAAAATCAGGAAGCTTCTGATAAAAATGTGAATAAACTTTCATTGTACATGGCCATTATGTTTAAGGATACTTATTCAGCAAGCAGAAGTTGATGAGTGATGAATCTGAAAATGCATCAAACAGTAAAGCATGCTCACAAGAAGCTTGATATAAAAAATCAGAAAGATCTTATTTTCAGATTCCTAAAAGGTTTGGGGGATGGACGGACAGACAGAAAAACAGACACTGACCGATGGACATTAACAACGCCCTCCATTCGGAGAGGGGGAATAACAATAATAATATAAGTTTATTCTGCATCTTAAGTCGAAAAGGGACTAAAAACTTATCTGAAACTTCCTGTAATTTATTTTACTACACTGTCAAAGGTCAATAATTAGAAATCTCAAAATCATATCTGAATATTTCCTTGGCATATAAAATCACATAGAACTCATATTAATTTTTTTGTTCTTTGCATAAATGTCCCTAATCAATTTCATCCTTTAAAAGCATTTGTTTAACCATTTGTACATAAAAATAACCAGTATTCTTTTCAGTTAAGTTCCATAAATCTTTTCAATTACTATTTTCTTGTTTTCATGAAATACTAAGTGTAAAATTCAATGTGAATTCCAATTACACTAAAATATTTTGGTAAGAGGAAAATTCAAAATGTGACGCATATGTTTACATTACTCATCATTCATGTATTACATACCAAAATATTTTTTTTAGAAAAAAAAGTCATTCTTTACAAAAACAAATTTGCTGCATAAAAAATTGATGAGTAAAGTATATAACAATCATGACACTTTGATGTACCAGTATAATTCCCTTAAATCTACAAAAAAGACTTTGATTATCTATAATGCATATATTTATATAAAAACATTGTTGATAACAAATGACAAAAAAATGTTAACTACCATAATATTGTTTTATGTAATAAACATATAAATATTTGCAATACAAGAAAAAAACCAAAGATTTATGGTCTTTTTCAAATAATCTTAGTAGAATTTTTCAGATAAAAGACATAATGATAAAAGTGTACAACATCTTATGTGAAAGACTATGGAGATGATGAACCAATGTAATCTTATTTCAAATATGTATAAAACTGTGTATAATGCATAGACTGTGCAACAAACATATTGCTAAATACTTCAATAATCGTATATAGCTTTAAATCTCAGCAGAGGCATTACAGCTTTCTTAACAGATCAAAATAGATCTTCGTACAAAATTGATAAAACTGGTATTCAAAATGAAAAATAACATTTCTGGATATCAGTAACTTTACATAGTCATGAACAATACAACTTGAATAAATTAACTTCTGTTCAGAATTTGTTTTAAAGTGTGTACTAATTATTCATCTGTATTATTTAAACTATAAATTCAATTCTTAATACAAAAGAAGAATAATAACTTATTAATGAGCTAAAAAAAGCTTGTTCATGTTAAAAATTAAAATACATATAAATTCTACAATTATGAAATATTTAGTAAAAATGTTGAGGAATGACACAATGGAAGTAATGATGACATTTGATGACATGGTTATTCATAAGGTCTTGACATAAGGTCATTTCCATATCCTGAAGGATTTCCATACATTTGTTGATTGCCATAGTTTGCTTGACTTCCATTTTTATATACCAATGGTTTTTGAGAAGCTGATGCAGCATCTTCTGGTCTCTTTCTTCGAAAAAATCCACACTGAAAATAAAGAAGATATGCTTGATTTGTTTTTTGAAATAATATTGTCAATAACAAATATATATGTCTTTTGGTTTTTTTTTTGTCATTTGGTTGCTGTTTCATTGATGGTTACCACACATCTCCATTTATTCAACTGAATTTTCTATAAGTCCTACATTTGGTACAACAACACTGTAACTGAAAATACTTGTTACAAGAATGTATGCTATGTCACACTTAACAAACTCCACTGGTTATTCAAAGTATCAGACAACAAGAAAAAGGTGTTTGACTGATCTGGAAAATGCTGCTACTTTACCACCTATCATTAATAAGCTGCTGACTAAATACACAGTCATTCTACTCAGCAGAACTTGAGAAAGGTGTAATGAAAAATTTTAAGATCATATAACATCAAAGTATCAGCAAACAGGAAGTGGGTGTTTGATAGTTCCGAAAATTGCTCACACGTTACAACTCATACTGCCTACCAAAAATAACATCATTCTGTGAAGTAATACCTGAGATAAGTGTGACAGAAATAATAATTGAAGTAATGGACAGACGGACGAATGGACACAGATGAACAAGGTGAATGCAATATAGTCCCCACGAGTAAGGTATAAATAACCAGGAAAAGGCATTAATTTTCTAAGATAAAAACAGAAAGTTTGTTATCAAAGCATCATAGAATCTGTATTAAACTCAAGTGTCAATTATTTTAAATACAGTAGACTCCGGCAAATCGGATACCCAAAATGTCAGCTAAAAATATCCCATTACCCGATATATTCAATTAGACGATAAATGTATATTCATTGAATATTCTCCAATAATGGGTAGACCTAATCCTGAGATGTTACTAGCCCTGACCACTGCTATATATGAAAGGGCTGGAGTGATTTTTATCAGTTACGTCACCACAATGTTTGTGTAAAAAATTAACAGCTGGTTATGTAATGCTCATATTTGTTTTCAGTTTTTAAATCCTATATTTATCAAAATAAATCAAATGTCCTGAAATATTTATGTGAATAAATATTTACAATCCATAGTTTGTGTCTTTATTTGTTTTGTAAACGAATTTTAAAATATCCATTATTTACATTATCACAGGTAAGCTAATTGTGCTATAAATAGATCAAAGTATGTTCTGTGTAGTCTCTAAACTAAAATCGTATTTGTTATATATTATATTTCTTCAAATAATCAAATTTAAATTTATGAAGATAATCATGATTGATAAAATATTATTGCATCAAGTTTAAGTTTTCTGAAGACTGTTTATGTTTAGGTCATGGTCTGGAGGCTTCTTCACATTTTGTAAACAAAACAAAATGGCATCCACATGTCATGTGGTCATGTTCATGTAACAAAATTATATCTGACAATAGTCAGATTGCTCTTGTCAAAAGGGATTTATATGTATATTGCAATAAATTATTCAGAAGGACGTACATTCAATTTCAATCATATTTCTAATTCTGTGAGCATGTAGAGTGTTATCAAAATTCTCCCAACGTACTGCTCTTCTATATTTGATAAATAAATTCAAACCATTTGAATTTAAAGGGCATCTAATTCACATAACAAAGGAAGACAACGAATAAGACAACAATTTATTAAGAAATAATTCCTTTTTATTTAGTAAAAACTAAATTTTCTTGTCTGCAAGATTGTAATTTCGTAACTTCCGGGTCCATTTCCAGTCAGAAAAACATTGAAAATATCCGATTGTGCATGGTTTTGAACAAAATTTCCTGAATATTCTTATCCTATTTGTCAATATATTCTTATATCCGATATTCGATTACATGATAAAATTAATATTAAACATATAGGGAAGGGTTTGGTGTTTTGAAATAATATTACAATAGCCGATATATTCGTTTAGCTGATATCCGATTAGGTGGAGTCTACTGTACAGTAAACCCTACTTTTCATTGCAATTTGCCCACAGAAAATTCTAAAGACTGTCATATTTATTTGTTGAAGGGCAGTACTACATAGTGGGGTAACTATCTGAATTTGATAATAAGCATCTGCAACTAAAAGTTTAATGAGAAGTTCGGTTAGAAAGTAAAAACTATAATCATATTAGAATCAACACTATCAAATCCAAATATCATGGAGATTCCTATCCTAAATAAAAATTATCAAATGTTAAATCATAATTGGTTGCTGTTGGCTTAACCTTCAGTGGCAAATATTTCATGCATATTCAGAATTAAAACTGGATACAATATGAAAGAAAATAATAAATTGTCTCCCCTACTTACCCACCACAGAAGAAGTATTAATAGCAATAATAATAATAATCCACCGGCTATGGCAACTCCTATAATCCATGGTTCTACACTCTTAGGGACTGGAACTAATTTGCCTGCATTTACATATGTCAAAACCTTTAATAGAAAATAAAACATGTTTGTCTTTAAAATATGCTTTCTATTGAAGACAATTACACCACAAATTCTCAAGGTGGCTGATTCTTAACAAAACTAAATTCAACACCAGCACATCTTTACATTTCTTGGTCAACAACCTTTATTCTTTGGTTCTCCATGTGCTGGTTTCCTGATGTTAAGTTATTATTGTTGAATTTATTCATAACTTGCCAAGACTTGAGATGTTCAGAGCTTTCTATAAAATGTGAGTGTCTACTCAACTCTGATCATTATACTTTAGATACTTATTTTTTATATCATTGCTGTTAAGCTGCTGTCTTATCATCCTGCTTCACTCCATGCTTTGATACAGGTATAATGTTTCTATTGATTTACTTACCTCTTGTTTTATAACTCTAAATGTTTCTGATGTAGTAGGTAAATCGTATGGCATCTCTTTCACCTGGGCCACTGCTTGTGACACCAATAGAAACGGTTCTTTACTCAATCCCCTCTGTAACAAGAATGGATATAAGTGGCCAATAGATAAACAAACTGTGAATTTAGATGGCATTAATACAATTCCAAGCTTGCCAGCATAGTAATGGGAGATAGCACAGTATACAAATTTATCATGTAACCTTATACCTGTATGCTCATATTATCATATAACTCTTCGTTTGGTTGTAGCGGAGTGCATTGTAGACATAAAACATTAATTTCTACCATTTACAGACAAAAGTGTTTACATTTTTTACCCACTGGTCAATTCAATTTGAATTTTATCTTCAGCTATCCAAAAAAATGATTTGTTTTGTTTGGAAGAAGGAGTCAGCTCCAGGAGTCTTTACTATAAAACCAGAGTATGCCTATGGCAAGTTTGGTTTCAACTCCTGATGTTTTTTTAAGTAATTGATGAAATTAAGACAGGATTTGCCTGTGAAAATGGGTTTATACAAGAATGGTTTGGGTAATCTATTTTGAACAGCAGTTTAGTATGACCATATTTTTTCTTTCATCAAATGAACATAATCTGTATTAGTTATGTACCTTTACTAGTGTATCCGTCCATATTCTAGCAGTAACTTTAATGAGTGCAGTCTGTCTTTCTTTCATGTACCTCAGGTTACATACAATCCTTGTACACCACTGTCTTGTACATGTCTAAAAAAAATTATTGTCATTTAATATTGCAACTATTATGTAACTTTTAATTTTTTATCACTGATATATATATATGTGTACATTGAAGTTACCAACTCTTGACTCTCATTTGAATTGTATTCCAATTCAGAAAAGAAGGTAACCTACTTAAAGTAAGCAAGAACAAAATATACCACAATATAAGTGCTGTACATATTTTCTTTCGTATTCTTTTAGACCGTAAATGTTCCGTACTACAATGTATTAAGGTAGAAAATACAAATTTCGTCCAAAATAAATTCTCATTTTTGCTAAAATCACTTAGCCAGAGTCACTGTGGCTGTCTTGTATGCCTTACTGGTATTGGTATCTATAGTGAAATTAAATTAAAAATCACAGTCATAAAACTTAAATACTCAGAGTACATAGTTATGCTTAAAACACCAAATCCAGTATTTAATTGGCTGAATTCAGTGTCTGAGTACGGTAATAGTACTTAAAATTTTTATGACTGCAGCCCTGAGATGAGATGTAGCCTAGAAACATTTTTGAGTTTGAAAGATCATTGATAATCTGTTCATCTCTGTTTTCCTAGGAAACGTTAATGACGTAGGCTTATGACATCATCCTTTTCTCTCTCTACTCATTCTAAGTCAAGTAGCTTGATATGAAAAATTGTCACAAAAAAAGATCAAAGCAAAATTGAAGAAAATAGTGATGAATAATATTTATCTTACAAAGTAAAATGTTATATTTATATACTAGCTTTGTAAGCTGTTAGGTCATCACAAATAACATAGCAAATCAGCATCTCTGATTTTTCTATTATTCATCAATATTAAAGTCCTTACAATTCTTCTAGTGTTATCATCCTTTGTCGCTCTTTTTGTCCTATAAGCCCCAGAGTTTTCATCTTCTCTTCCCTTTATCAAAAGCTGAAATATAATCAATAACATTTGTGTTGCATATTGTACAGAACGCCTCAGTCATCTTTCCTTTTCAAAAAGATTTGACTTTACTTTTTATTTTTTAAATAGGTAAGTCAGATGTCTACAACATTACAAAACCTTTTTCATTTTGTTTGCATAATTATATTTTTGGCATTCTGTAAGGATACTGAAAACAGCAGAAAAAAAGACAATGTGCACTAGATAAATGACTGTTGCATCTAAAGAATAATATGGGTTATGTTCTTCTCGTATATTTCATGATGGTATGATACTAAACCCCTAACAAGAGGGATGATTTTCATATGATGAAGACATAATCTATCAATCAGTTTAATTGAGGTCTGGAGCATGCATTTCAGTAGCTGCTAGTAGTCCTTTGTTAATTTATTTATCATTGTCCTTTTGCTTAGTTTCTTCTGTTCACTACTCTAACATCGAACTTGGACTTCTTATAAACTGAATTTTACTATGCATATTGCTATGTGTTTGTTTTTTCTACATTGGCTAGAGGTATAGGGGAGGGTTGAGATCTCACAAAACATGTTTAACCCCGCCCCATTTTTGCAGGAGCCTCTGGCCTTTGTTAGTCTTTTATGGTTATTTTAATTTTGGTTCATTTATATGTTAGTTTATTGTGACGTCCATTTTCACTGAACTAAATCACATTTTTGTTTAGGGGCCAGCTGAAGCCCATCTCGCTGTGTTCAAGACCCATTGGTGGCCTTGTGCTGTTTTCTGCTCTTTGGTTGGGTAGTTGTGTCTTTGACACATTCCCTGTTTCCATTCTCAATTTTATCATAACTGAGATTCAAATTCATTTTTAAATGAGTATGTGTGATGCAGTCCTATTCAGCCTAAGATAATACAATAATCATTAATAAAATAAATTTGGCATGATGGTATAATTGTTCCATATGCATTTGATTAAAATTGTATTATAATATTTCAGAAGTCTGCGTTTACAATATAGCAAAAGAATAGAAATAAAAGGTTTTCAATGTAGGTACTGAAGTACTATACATATCATAATATTCCTAGGGGTATTTTTTATTCGTTTTAGTTTGTACTGAAGTGTTACTCTTGTAAACAAGACTATAAAATTTGAATACATACTACAGAGTTCAATCATATTAAAAATACAGATCCTGTGTTCAAGCTTTGCTTACAAGGATCTGACAACACTTCGTTTTACTTTCTGTTCTGGTAATTATTACATCAAATAAAATTTCAGCTTTCAAATTTTTGAAGGTGTTAATTAATCTGACAAAACCAGAGACACCTGAAAGGTCTTTAAAATAAAAAGTAGAATGTAGCTTTTTAATATCCTTGTTAGCAAAGCTAGAACTTGGGATCTGTATTTTAATCAGATTGTATAGAGTTATACTTACTGTACTGTTAGCAGGTGTATAAATTTCTTCAGTACATACTCCCTCTGTTTCACTGACTGTTGGAACAGTGGTAAGATAAAGAAGGTTATTTCCTAAATCATCAAAACTAGGCCAGTAAATATGTACCAAGGACCCCTTAATGTCACTGTAACCTAAATTTGTCAACTGAAAATGGAATAAAATAATCTTTTATAATACACATAAGTATGTTATGGTACATTCTAAAATTTCACTTGAAAATTAATTTCCTTCAGATGAATTTTTTCAGCAATTTTGCATTTCTTTATGTACTTGATAAATTCTTATTTTCTAAACCTCATTTGATGAAACATCACAGATTTTTACGTGAAATATATTATGATTTATTTATTTATAAAGCTGTATCAACAAGAATGCACATGTTGTTTTGCTAAGCATACCCCCACTCCTAATTCAGAGTATCAGAAAACAGCCCGACAGATACAAAAAGCACTCAAACATTTCACACTGCAAGCTGTTGACCAAATACGAACCATTCTGTTCAGTAGAACTGATGAAGAACAAATTTTTGTTTAGTTCATTCAACAAATTGAAAAATTCAAAGTATTGGCTAACTTGAAGTTAGTCCTTTAATATAACCAGTGTGACAATAATGTAATGTTTGTTGGACAACAGATGGACAGACAAGGTGAATACAATATAGCTCCTACTTTTAAAGTGGAGGTATAAAAAGTGTTCATTTAAACAAACTAATGGAATCACTTGTGTCCTTAAATTCAGTTTTAATAAGAATTGCCATAATTCTCTTCAACACCACAACTATACCAATATTCAGCTGAATGTCTTAAAATTCGGACAAAACTCATCCACCAGCAATATACAACTTAAATTTGTTATCTATAATTAGTAATTAATCTGTCAATGTTATTCAAAACTTGTTTGTAACTTTTACTTATGCAACTAGATTAAAGAAATCAGTCAAATCTTCAGGTCCAAAAAAAACTGTCCTGGAAAGTTTTGTATTTCAGAAGGACAGTATGACAGGCAAACCATAAACTATATTCAGTATGGGAAAACATGGGTTTTCTATAACTTTTAATTGGATTTTGGTCTACCTTTCAGTACAGATGAGTACTCCTAGATATGTACTATGTGTTTCAAATGTTACAATAATATCTGTATTTGTGCTGAGTACCAATTTGATGAGTCAAGCCCTTTTTCATCTGATTTTAACAGTTCTTTCTTCTGTCGTATTGTTACAAGGTGAAGGGGTGGTTTGAGCTCTCACAAACATATTAACCACACCACATTCTTTATGTGCCTGTCGACTACTGTAATCCAGTGGTTGTTGTTGGTTGATGTTTTTGCTTTCCCGTTCATTATTGTAGCAAAAAATCAGGCCTCAATTTTTTTCTTTTGAATAGTTTCACATTTTGCCATACTGGGGCTTTTTATAGCTTACTACATGTATATGGTATGGTTTTGCTAATTGTTGAAGGCCATTAAGTGATCTGTAGTTGTTCCTATCTTTATCCTTTTGTCTAAATGGCAATTATACCCCCCTTTTTTTATAAAAAATTCAATAACTCTAAAATAAAATTTTGAATCATCACCAAAAAGTATACAGATCTTTAGATTAGTATAATTAAGAAGTGTGTAAAGTTTTAAGCAATAATCATAAATTGTTTTTGAGATATGTCGCGACATGTGAAAACCCCCCCTTATTTTACAAAAAAATCAAAAACTCTAAAATAAAATTTTGAATCATCACCAAAAAGTATACAGATCTTAAGATTAATATAACTAAGAAGTGTGTAAAGTTTTAAGCAATAATCATAAATCCTTTTTTAGATACAGCGTGACATGTGAAAAAAAACACCCCCCTGTTTTAGTTACAAAGTCCCGTAACTCAAAAAGTTTTAATCTTATTTTCACCAAAAAGTATTCAGAGCGTTTGACCATCATAAGAAACAACTATGTTAAGTTTCATGAAATTTGGATAAGTCGTTCTCAAGTTATGGTGCGACATGTGGACGCCAGACAGACGGACAGACGGATAGACAGACAGACAGACGGACACTGGATATTTGTATACCATAATACGTCCCCAGAGATGTCTTTAATATTGAGCCTAACTTAAAAAAGATAGACTAATGCAGATCATATTACTTACTTTATATTCATGGACCACAGTAGGACCAAACCCAGTGTCTTTATACTTCTCCACCAAAACATCATTGTAAACCACTTGTTCTTTATCATTTCCTGTCTCTCTATATTAACAAACAAAGCATTCTTTATAAAAAAACAAATCGATATATATGTGAAATATCTAGAGACACAACATTCATTTACAATTTTAGAAGAGACAGCATATTCAAGTTAAACCATTTTTGTTGTGAATTGTGAAGAGAAATGTAAATATCATGGGCATATACAATAGAAGAAAGTACTTTTCTAACCACCAAACTTGATATCAATCAATCATCTGAGATAAAAAAAAATCATAAAAGAACAGAGTTCCAATGTCCCTCGTGTTGCACATATTTTATCTATTCAGGGGCAGTAACTAAAAAAAAAAACACTTTTTTTTGTTGTTCTTTAAAACAATTTATAAATAAAAAACGTGCGCGGGGGACAAAAAAGTTTTTATTATTGTATATTAAATATTTCAAACAGACCTTCAAGGGCATTACTAATAGTATACTATAAGTTTTATAAAAAATTGTGCCTGTGAGAGCGCTAAGGAGGCCATTTTCAATAAATTTAATATTTCCAAGGGTCATAACTCTTTTAAAAAAAGTCGATTGTCCACCATTATAGAACTTGTCTGAGATATTGCTGATATTAACCTTAGTATAAGTTTTATAAAAATCTGGCAAGAATTGTACCCATGAGAGAGCTAATGAGACCATTTTCCATAAATTTAATATTTCCAAGGGTCATAACTCTTTTAAAAAAAGTCGATCGTCCACCATTATATAACTTGTCTGAGATATTATAAATTCAGAAATTATTGCATACATTTATTTTTGCATTTTTGAAGAATGAACAAAAATACGAGATTAATTATTGCGATTTCAGGAATAATTGCATGCAGATATATGTATCAGATATCAGAATGCGAATTCTTATTATTGCTATACTGACCCAGTCACATATTCGCAATAACCTCGCTATAATTTCGGAATTTACATGTTGATTTAAGCACATTCATGAATTCATGTGTTGTTCTGTCACTCACTGAATATTTTTCTACATTAGAATTATTGGATTAGTTATTCTATAAATTTAAATGCAGATAGCAAGTACTATACATAACTTACCCAGTCAAATTAAGGTTAGAGGATTGTTGGAGGAGTATAACTTACCCAGTCATAGTTAGGTTAGCAGACTGTTGTAGGAGTATAACTTACCCAGTCATAGTCAGGTTAGCAGATTGTTGTAGGAGTTTTTACTAACCCAGTCATAGTTAGATTAGCAGACTGTTGAAGAGAGCATAACTTACCCAGTCATAGTTAGGTTAGCAGACTGTTGTAGAAGTTAAACTTACCCAGTCATACTTAGGTTAGCAGACTCCTGTAGGAGTTTAACTTACCCAATCTTAGTTAGGTTAGCAGACTTCTGTAGGAGTTTAACTTACCCAAATCATAGTTAGGTTAGCAGACTGTTGTAGGGAGTATAACTTATCCAATCATAGTTAGGTTAGCAGACTGTTGTAGGGAGTATAACTTACCCAATCATAGTTAGGTTAGCAGACTGTTGTAGGAGTATATTAATGTCAAACTGATTGTCTGTCAGGTTCAATTTATTCTCTGGATTAGTACTACAAAAAAAGGTGTATATTTCTGAAGGCTAAATCGTCAATGAAGTCAGGTGAATAACTCCCTGATTTAATTTACTTGAACTTAAGTTAATATACCACAGAAGAAAATAGAATATTTTATAATCTTATATTTCTACAGAGTGTATTTAAATGTGTGCATACATTACTCCCATAGCAAAATAGACTATTTTCATATTACTGATTTTTTCTACAAGTTACCTACTCTGTACTTATTGATCGTCACAGGTTTCTGGTGCAATGATTGTTCTATTCTTTAAAACATGACAGTTGAGACAAATCTTACTTGCATTTTATAACATTTCAGATCCTGAACCAAACTATTGCTTCACACTATTATAAATTTGAGTTTACTTTATATGTTTTTACAACCACTTCCGTTCATAGTTGTGTATTTGCAAAAATATCACATGTATTCATCATGTTCATTGGTTTTGTCAAAATAGATTTTTATTCCTGACCAATTTGAAAAAGGTTATTAATTCGACATTTAATCATGAAAACTATGAGTAAATACATCGTATTTTTGATTTTTCCCTGAACTCTAACCCAGCTCCACCAAAAAAAGAAAAAAATATCTGCCTATTTGATGATAATCTACACAATTGTGTCTAGATTTGACAAAGTACATGCTATCCTAAAATTAATCCCAAAATCATTAAGATGAAGCAATGAAATAGGAGGTTCAAAAGTGCAGCATGTGAGTAAGATTCTGTGAATGTTTTACATAATTCTATTAAGTGGTTCAGGAGCAGTTGCAGATACAAAAGTTGGACAGAAGATCCAGAGTGGCAAAATAATGGATGGACTCCTCTATCACTATATACATCTCACTTTAGTAAGCAGGGGGTATTATTATAAAAGCTGTAAGTCATTAAAAATTATTATCAAACGTATGTATGCTTAGTATTAGAATACAACAGATTCTTTGTTGTGTCTTTTCTGGTATAGATATTGTTGTCAAAACAGCATAATAAGGTTTTTTTTCTTTTTCTTACTAAACACATATGACATATAGCACTATGTTTTATGACCATAATGTGATAATTCCTTACAACTTGACAGTTATAAAATAAATAGTTACCTATTTATTCTGAAAGAAAACACTAAATCTTTAGATTGACCATCTACTTTGGTTGGGTAAACCCTCATTGTAAAGTTAGTCTGAAACATAGAAAATATTTATCAGAGTTTAAACAAACATAACCAATCATCTATGTCATAAAATTGTTTTTTTAATGTTGATAAATCAACCAGTAACTTAAATACTTTTTTTTTACTTGAAAATCCAAAGTACAAAATATTTCATGAATATTGATTCCAGGCATCACATGAGGATTGAAATCATATATTGCTAACTAAAATTTATGAACAAAAAAATGAGACACCTATGAATATAACTGCAATTTAATTCTAATTAAAATAAATATAATTTTTAATATTTATTTCTAGTCAACTTAAACAGCAGTCCCTTTTCATGAGGCCATCATCTCAGAAAAGAGAATGGGGTCTTATGATACAATTAGTCTTTGAAGGTGGGTCAAATTACTTTAAAAAATATTTCTCATGAACAATAAGAGAGGCCATAAAATATGACTTTTTGACAGAAATATCATCTGGAACTTCTGATTTTCAAATGCTATACTAAAACAAGAAATGAATGTAACAGGATGCTGTTACGAAGTCTCCCAAACGAAGCTCCCATAATTCGAAATTCCCAGGGTCGCCTGACATTGGGCAACTTCCAGTGAAAATTGGTTTGGTCCAGTAAAGTTATATGCATTAGTGATGCCTGGGGACTAACCTTGTATATCATTCAAATCATCTTGGCATGACAAACCAGAATATATATGGTTTAGGGGTGGGGATCTCGACCATTTACAAGATACTAGAACATTGGGGGTGGGGAGGAACCCCTTGGGACTGGCCCTATACGTCATTCAAATGTTCATTACATGACGAACAGGAATATATATGGTTTAGGGGTGGGGATCTCAACCATTTACAAGATATTAGAACATTGGGGGTGGGGGGGGACCCCTGGGGACTGACCATATATGTCATTCAAATGTTCGAGACATGACAAATAGGAATATATATGGTTTAGGGGTGGGGATCTCTACCATTTACAAGATATAAGAACTTTCTCAAATGGCAGGGGGTGGGGTGACCCCTGGGGACTAACCCTGTATTTCATTTGAAGTGCTTTATCATGACAAACCAGAATATATATGGTTTAGGGGTGGGGATCTCGACCATTTACAAGATATTTGAACTTTCTCAAATGGCAGGGGGTCGGGATGACCCCTGGGGACTAACCCTGTATATCATTCAAACCATCTTAGCATGACAAACCAGAATATATATGGTTTAGGGGTGGGGATCTTGACCACTTACAAGATATTAGAACTTTCTTAAATGGCAGGGGGTGGAGGTGACCCCTGGGGACTAACCCTGTATTTCATATGATGTGCTTTATCATGACAAACCAGAATATATATGGTTTAGGGGTGGGGATCTCGACCATTTACAAGATATTAGAACTTTCTCAAATGGCAGGGGGTCGGGATGACCCCTGGGGACTAACCCTGTATATCATTCAAACCATCTTAGCATGAAAAACCAGAATATATATGGTTTAGGGGTGGGGATCTTGACCACTTACAAGATATTAGAATTTTCTTAATGGCAGGGGGTGGGGGTGACCCCTGGGGACTAACCCTGTATTTCATATGATGTGCTTTATCATGACAAACCAGAATATATATGGTTTAGGGGTGGGGATCTCGACCATTTACAAGATATTAGAACTTTCTCAAATGGCAGGGGGTCGGGATAACCCCTGGGGACTAACCCTGTATATCATTCAAACCATCTTAGCATGACAAACCAGAATATATATGGTTTAGGGGTGGGGATCTTGACCACTTAGAAGATATTAGAACTTTCTTTAATGGCAGGGGGTGGGGGTGACCCCTGGGGACTAACCCTGTATTTCATTTGATGTGCTTTGTCATGACAAACCAGAATATATATGGTTTAGGGGTGGGGATCTCGACCATTTACAAGATATTAGAACTTTCTCAAATGGCAGGGGGTCGGGGTGACCCCTGGGGACTAACCCTGTATATCATTCAAACTATCTTAGCATAACAAACCAAAATATATATGGTTTAGGGGTGGGGATCTTGACCACTTACAAGGTATTAGAACTTTCTTAAATGGCAGGGGGTGGGGGTGACCCCTGGGGACTAACCCTGTATTTCATTTAATGGGCTTTATCATTTAGAACATTTTCAATTAAAAAGATTGTGTCTATCACAAACGGTTTTCAATTTATAATCATTTGAAAATTTAAAAAAATAAAATCCCATAGGGTTCTATAGTAAAACCCTCTTTTCTTTTTGCCCCTCAAAGTACCCCTTTATAAACCCCATTGCACAAACAAAACCCTGATTGCACCACTAGACATGTTAGTCTAACATATTGTGAAACCCTAAGTTAATCTGACAAGCGGTTTTGGAGAACGGGTGCGGACAAGTTCAAATTTAAAAGCGGCGGAAGAAGAAGAAGAAGAATAATAATAATAATAATAAGAACTGAGCAAAAACAATAAGTCTTCCCAAACTTCGTTTGGGAGACTTAATAAAAATGGCAATTTGAAAGTTTGTAAAATCATTTAGGAATGACTTTTTATTGGTCATATCTTTTATCAATATCAGAAACAAGATACACTTTCATAAATAATCAGGAGAGAAAAATCAGTTGTTAGTCATGAATACACAGTTTAATTTCAGTAATGTATTAAGCTGTAGTTTTTTTTAAGCAAAAAGAAATCCATCACTAAAATGTTAAAAATCAAGTAATTTCTTAAAATACCTACCTTTCTATTTGCTTGGAATGGATTACCAATAGAACAGTTCACCAAATTGTATGATGCATTATTTCTACCTAACCATTCACAGATTGGAGCATTCTGAAATAAAATTTATGTATCTCTTACAAGTTATGTCCATTAAAAATCAAGGTGGATCAATGTCACAGACTGTATTTGGTTAAAGAGTAAACAGTTATGCATTAGAAAAAAAATACATTGCCTGAGACAATTCTAACATATTAAGTTGTTAATTTGAAGCTGAAACATATATTTTACATCTTTTCATGTTCTTAAAATCCTATAAAGCAATAGTTAAAACATCCATCATATCTTACATCACACTTTATCTTTTTAAATACTCATGAAGTGTATCAATAAAACTCGAAAAAAATTTAATTCATGAAATGAAAATTTTCGAACACTTAGTCATCACATTAACTCGTATCACCGACCTTTTTTGTAGCAGCTGAGGAATTTCTTAAAACAACCTTCCATTTTTCTTCAAGTTGGGTTCAATTTGACAAAATTGTATCAGAGAAGATTCAGAGGGTTAATCTTTGAGGCAGCCATAACCCATTGTATCCTATAATACTCTGTGACCCTTTGTATGCCAACTTTCAAAATCAGAAGGATTTATGTACAAGGTCTATCATATTATCATTACTTTAAGGGTATAAAAGATTTGGATTTTAAATTTCAGAGGAAATCTAATCTGAATATTGATTTGTTCAGAAAAAAAACTCTTCTGCAGTCATGTTTTTAATCCAAATGTATAGTAGACAATCTTAAATAAAGGACATAAAATTTGTTTTCCCACAGGGTTATATTGGAACCTTTGTGGATTAATGACATCATGGATGTTAAAATGAATATTTGGCTTTGTAGGAAAAGATATAGAAAACTGACCAATAAGAAGAAAAATTTCCTTTAGTGCCAATATTTTTTTATTCAATCTAAAATACAAAATATTGAACTTTGATAAAGGACCTTCTGTTAGGTACAGTCCTGCAAAGCTTCTTTCAAGTTTGTAGAAGTTTCAGAAAAGCTTAATGTTGAATTTAGGTCATTTTATGTAATGTTAATAGTTTACACTAGCCCTAAGAAAAATAAGTACACTTCAAATTAAGCCTTATATATCATAAACTTGTTTAAATGTCAGGTTGAACCCGGGCCTTTTTTATATTAACCTTAAAATGAAGCATACACTTACAAACTGGTTCCTTATTCCGTTATACTCTACACCTTTAGGTAGATCCACATAAAGATAAGTTTCGTAGGCATCCTCTCCTCTATTGGCAATGTTTATTATGATATCTATGCTGTCCTCATTACCCATTGTTACACGGTTTGTTAATCTAAAACAATTATATGCATATATATAGATATATCCATCCTTTTATGATTAAAACTAAGTTGAATACTGTATGCATGTAAATAAAGGTATGGAATTTCCTGTCTAGGGGTAAAAAGATGGGGAAAACTACAATTTTCTCTCGAAATTTCCTCAGTCCAAGGACTATAATGGCATAAAAAATAAAGTACAGGTACACTGATGCACAGTACAAAACTTGATATGGACTTTTGCATGACATCAAATATTGTCAAACTTTGTCAAAACTATGTCAACCAATATCAAAGGGAGATTTGAATTATTTAATGTAATATATGTATCATGTATGAAATTGTACTTAACCTAAGGTAGCAACTACCATAGGCAGGTTGACCTTAAATGGTATGGTTTTTCAGTTTTTGAACTTTTAATTTGTCATGTTCCCAAATATTTATAAATTTTAGAATTGCAAATTGTTGGTCTTGATTATATGTGATGAAGATTAATTCTGAAACATGTGCAGTGTACACATAAATATGTTAATTTCTGCCATTCCTGATGGTATAACCAAATATAATTGTCAGGTCAGTATTGGCAGACACTACAACCTACAGTGATTACACTATTGACTACATTTTATATACATTGTACAATCCTAGATCATTATTTTTATAGCTTTTCCCCCCATTATATGAGATACTGTATAACAATCACAAAGACTTACGAGTATGGTAATACTGACAGATCGGGAATACACACTTCATCTGGACCACAGTTTTTCAAAATATTGGCCTGAAAAGTATCAAAGATAGTATAGAACTTATTCTCTAAATACAGCACTTGATAACCTGTAATCAAATAATTTTCTTGTTTAAGTTTGCACAGTCTGTCACTGAAAGCAGTATTGAATGGCATGAAGTAAAAAAGGTCACTTCAAAATTATCTATACCCCTAAGAAATAGCAAAACCCTAAAAGCATTTATCATAAGAAATTATTTCCCTCTAGTACTGGGAGAAATTTGTATCACCTAGTGCCTTAGTTACGGAAATATCTGCCTTTAAATGCTTCCCTTTATGAACAATTTTAATTAAATATTTAATCTAAAAATGTTGTTTTGCTTAACTAGAGCTCTAAAGAGCCTGTGTTGATCACCTAGGTCTATGTGCATCTTCAACAATGGAGACTCCCCAACATTGTGGACTATGAGCCAGGTGAGCTAAAAAATCACATTTTTACAAAAACATAGTAGGAGTTTTTTTGTGTTTCATTGCCAATCTAATTACAAATTTGTAAAAATTAAAGGGTCCTTTATTATAAATGAAGATAAATAGTGTATACATTTACCAGCCAAAATGTCAAATTTAAAGATTTCTAGTTTTTATTCACCTTAGCTGATCTGGCAATGGTTAATATCTATGATCTACACTTTTGATGTACTAGCAAGCATATTACTCCTAACACACCTGATTTTGCCTATTTTCCTCAGTTTTTTTCAATTTTTACCTCTTCCAAAGAGCAGTAAATTTATCACAGTTTACCTTTAAATATCACTGCTAAAAAATTATATGGACCATGAATTGCAAAATTGGACTTCCTACTGTCAACCTTTCAGCTAGGACAGTTTTGAAAAAGCTATAGAAGGCAATATGGCTAAAAGCTGAATGGCTGTTGGAATCATGAATAGAGTCTGAAATAGTCATAAATGAGTTCATCCTAAAGAACTATATCAATATATTAATAAAACTCAACATTTCCTCCTAACCTGACTATAGACAGAATTGGTCATAATAAATAAGTTAATCCTTCAGAACCATAGCCTGATTTATATATTGAAAAAACTAAACATTCTCTCCTAACTTCAATAAACCAACATTTACCATATAATAGGTTATTTGCACAATAATCTAATTTTTGTGGTATTTCTGGGCCAGTTTCTGATGGTAAAAATAAAATCTGCCAAAAATAATATCAAAAATGATGCTTCTTACTTTTCTACTGGTCTAAATCTATTCCAATACAAATTAATCAGGATATTGATGGTCCTAAAGTAAAAGTATGATATCTTTTTTTTTTGTTTTAAAGAAGTTTGTTGGGAAGAGTGAATTTTTAGATCCGAGATGAGAAAACTGCCTGTTATATTTTTTTTTTAACTTTAATCTGTGATGAGAACATTGCCTGATAAGTGTTGTCTAACTTTGATCTGTGATGAGGAATTGTCTGTTATATGTTTTCTAACTTTGGTCTGTGATGAGAAATTGTCTTTTATATGTTTTCTAACTTTGGTCTGTGATGAGAAATTGTCTGTTATATGTTTTCTAACTTTGGTCTATGATGAGAAATTGTCTGTTATATGTTTTCTAACTTTGGTCTGTGATGAGAAATTTACCTGTTATATATTGTCTAACTCTGATCTGTGATGAGCAAATTGCCTGATATGTGGTCTAACTTTTATCTGTGATGATTTGCCTGTTATATTTAATAATTGTCTAACATTGATCTGTGATGAGAAAATTGCCTGATAATTGTGTTGTCTGACTTAGATCTGTGATGAGAAAATTGCCTGATATGTGTTGTCTAACTTAGATCTGTGATGAGAAAATTGCCTGTTATATGTTGTCTAACTTAGATCTGTGATGAGAAAATTGCCTGATATGTGTTGTCAACTTAGATCTGTGATGAGAATTCACCTGTTATATTTTTTCTAACTTTGATCTGTGATGAGAAAATTTTCTGATATGTGGTCTTACTATGATCTGTGATGAGAAAATTGCTTGTTATGTGTGGTCTTACTATGATCTGTGATGAGAAAATTGCTTGTTATGTGTGGTCTTAACCATGATCTGTGATGAGAAAATTGCTTGATACATGTTGTCTAAGTTGAACTATGATCTGTGATGAGAAAATTGCCTGTTATGTGTGGTCTTACTATGATCTGTGATGAGAAAATTGCCTGATATATGTTGTCTTAACTATGATCTGTGATGAGAAAATTGCTTGAGTTGAACTATGATCTGTGATGAGAAAATTTCCTGAAGACCTAGTTATAAATACCTCAGCCTTAATTAAGAGTAGAAGTAAAATCTAGTTATAAATATCTCAGCCTTTTAAAGAGTAGGAGTAATACCTAGTTATAAATACCCCAGCCTTTACAAGAGTAGGGGTAAAACCTAGTTATAAATACCCCAGCCTTTACAAAAGTACAGGTAAAACCTAGTTATAAATACCCCAGCCTTTTAAAGAGTACAGGTAAAACCTAGTTATAAATACCCCAGCCTTTACAAGAGTAGAGGTAAAACCTAGTAACAAAATACCTTAGCTGTTTTTAGTAGGAGTAAAATATTTTAGCCTTCTCTAGAGTAGGAATAAAACCTTGTTATAAATACACCAGCCTTCACTAGAGTAGGCATAAAACCTAGTTCTAAAATACCTGTCTTTACTTAGATAAGGGTGTAAAACTTGCTCCTAAAATACCTGTCTAAACTAAGAGTAGGAGTAAAACCTGTCTTTAATAAGAGTAGGAGGTTTAAAATACAGCAGCCTTTTACTAGAGTAGGAGTAAATATAGTTATAAATACCTAAGCTTTTACCAAAGAAGGAGTAAATATAGTTATAAATACCCCAGCCTTTACTAGAGTAGCAGTAAATATAGTTATACATACCTCAGCTTTAACTAAAGTAGGAGTGTACTGGTCTAGTACAGGTTCTAAATTTAGATTCAAAGCCTGCCTCTTCTTCCTTCCACCTAAAACATCATTTATATCATCCTTGGCTAACTTAAAATTAAAATTCACTTGAATTGGTGTTAGCTTGTCTCTGACCGAGTCGGCCTGAAATATAATATGATCAATTAATATCTTCCTATGTCTAAATTTGGGTTACAGGAGGCATGCTTCCTTTACATGTGATGAAGGTTCTGGTTTGTAAAGTTTGGAATTATGTGGAAAAAAAAGGTTTGTCAATTATTTGAGCAGAGCAACAATTTATTTAGCTTGTTTCTCCAAACAATATAAAAATCCAGCAAAACTGCATGCATAAAGTAGTTGCATAATCCCATATTCCCTCTAGTTAACAATTTAACAGATTAAACTTTAGATGATTATAATACAAGTGTAAGTTACGCAGGGGTTAAAAATTCAAATATGTCAAAATATGACAAAATTCAAATAACCAATGAAACATTTTGTAATTAAATTCCTCAAGATGCATGCCCTTAACCAATAACATAACAATGCATAAACAAAACAGCTACTTACATTTTTTATATAGACAAAAGAATTGTGACAAAATGTTTTATTCCTTTCTAATTCTTTATCTAACAGCATTTCCTCTGACATCTGGGTTGCCAAAAGAAAAACTCTTTTGTTGGTTTTCTTCAGAGAATCAAACTCCCATGAAAGGTCAAACAAAAGTCGCTCAGAAACACCAAGACCATTATACTTTACACATGTTCCAACATTGAAGCTAAGATCAAAATATAATTGAACAGTGGTTGTTTAAACATGGTGAATTCATATATATAAAACATGTTTTATTTTTTTTATTACCCTTCCCCTGCTAAGAAAAGTGGAGGAATGTGGTTTTTTTTTCCCCTGTGTGTATCTTTTCATGTTTCCTTTATTGAAGTGTACATGGTTTGGCCATGGTCATGGTTTTGTCTCTTAATGCTTTTAAGCTGGAAACTTTTAGTTTTGCAGAGATATCACCAGGATTTTGATTTATCTAATTTTTCATAAAATAAATACTTATTGAAATTCATTGATTTTTTGTGTATTTGAAATTGAGCATATTAACTCCTCTAAGTTGTTTTTTTTCCCAGCAGGTTATTGCTTGTTCATATATCAGAGATATACATATTGTAAAGATAGAAAATTTCACAGATTTAAAGGTTGCAAAACATCCCTGGCCATTACTTAAGAATGTTCGCTACTCTGTTTCAAAATAACAAGTTTTTTAAAAGACTATTATAAATTGATAGTATAAAAATAAATAAACTAAAAAAGCAGAAAAAAATGAAGGGTCCATCTGCTTGTTTTCGAGATATAAGCCATTGAAAATTTGGCGGGAAATAATTCTCTCTAGATTTTTCATACATTTAACATTGGCACCTTTTTTCTTTCAAAAACGATGAAAAAATAACAAAAAAGATGAAAGAAAAGTAGAGGTTAGTGGGCAAAATTTTTAATGGCATTACATGGATAAAACCAGAGGATTCCGAATATCTGGCAAAAATTCAAAAACAAAAAGAGCAAACATCCTTAAGGGCACAATACAGTTACAGGGGAGATAATGCTAACGTAAAATGTTATTTTTGGTAACGTCAAACTGTCAGAAAAAGATACATTTTCTACTTATTTAAACCATTAGCTTGTTAACAAGTACATGGAAGCCTCTTTTTAAACATGGCATTTGGTTTGATTGTGTATGAAGAATCTTTGTACCAATTTTTATGAACAAATCACAGATGATTGTTTTTTTAAATTAGATAAATATACAGCAAAAATGCTGGGTTTTTTTTTCTAAAATCATGAAAATTCAATAACAATTAACTATGTCCAAAGAATAGTTACACAAATTTAGATCATACTTATGTAAAGAAGATATTCCAAATGCTTTTACAAAAATCTGCTTGTGTTAATCTTTTGAAATAAAAAAGTAAGGTATATCTGTCCAAAGCATAGAAATGAATGTCTGAGAAACTGAATTTTGAGTAAATTTCTATAATTTCGACCCCATTTATCTCTCAAAATAGCACATGACAGTATATTTTTTATTACATATTTAAATTGACTAGGTATAAAATAGCTTCTATGCAAGTTTACATCAAAAATTCACCATGGGATCAAAACTGTATCATATGGCCTTGAAAATGAATAATGAAACTTACCACAGAACTGGCGTTGGACTCCATGTAACAGGGCAACTCTTTTTTTGTTCCAAATCTATAGTTTGTGGTTGTAGTTGTACACTGGCAGCAACTCTTACTATGGGTCTTGCCCTTAAACATAGATATTTAGATTATATATCAAATTATGATACTGATGGTTTTTTTTATATGTTTTCATTATACCAGAATGGGAGATAATTTACTAACTAGGTTGCAGCTTTTACTGATAATAGTCATTTCTTACATTGTCTCTGAAAAGCTCATAAATGTATTTACTTTCCTCAGTTTGTAAACATCCAAATCAACCAACATCTTTAAGCTATTAAAACTATTTTCTCTCAAGTAAAGTATTTCTTACAGGGTAAATAAAGTTATATAATTTTTCCCTTTTCTAGAGATTGGTCATATAATTTAACATGGTAACTCTTACCAACGTAAAAGTAATTCTCTCTTTTCCAAATTAACTTTAAAAATTGAAATTAATTTGCTGATCATACCTTAGAAATGTTACAGTGATCACTCTGACGAAGATGACTGGTTATTGAATTACTGAAAGATCTTTTTTCTTTTCATAAAACATATTCCTATTTAATTACTAAATCACACCTAACTTACCACAATTGAAGTGCTGCCTGTGATTCATATGCCCCAACTAATAAATCTGAAAGTAAATCACATTGACAGTTACAATGCAACTGACCCAACTTAATATCAGTTTCTACATATTTGAATTATTTCAACTTTACCCTTACTCATAGGAATATTTTAGTTTTCAAACAAGCAGGGTTATGACAAACAGTTCTTTATAGACCCATTCAGTTTTCTAATTATGTTTTGCACATAACAAATATCTGTTGTAATCGTGTATCAAAGCAGTTCTAATTACTTCAAATGTCGTAAAGTGAGGTCTTTGTAAGTGCCAATCTGCCTAAGAATCAAACTGTAGTGAAAACATGACAAACAAAAACCCACTCAAGATTACATTAATTTAAGTTCAAAATATATAATGGTGCACGAATATAACATTCGTTTCCTTTTCCTGTTCTGGTATTTCAAGATATAATTTCGTTGAAATGCACTAGAAATTACCAAATGAGGGGATCTAACTCCATGATTTGCTATCATTCTAACCAAAAGTTATTTAGAGATTTCTTGAATTACCAGACATGCAGAAACGAAAGACCTACCACTTCAGAACGAGGGTTACTATAAAATAGGATGGTTAGGTCAGCAGGTTTTTTTCTGTCATGTTTTGAAATTATTCTAAATTGCCTGATTCTTACAAAGACTGGCACTTAATATACCCATAGAGTACTCGTGTTTAAAAGTTTCTGAATAAGAAGTTGTTAAAAAATAAATTAAAACTACCTGGATACTGGTTTTTGTCTAAGTCAAGTCCTCCAGACAAAGAAAATCCAAAACTTTTAACAGATGGAAAATCAGCACCATGTATAACCTTCAATGATAAAAATTATGTCTTAAACATTTGTGGAGTACTGTATACACTTCAAGGGCCCAATTAGTTGTGGGATACTGTATACACTACATAGCCCAATTAATTCTTGAATACTGTACACACTACAAAGTCCAATTAATTGTGAAATACTGTATATAGGAAAAAGCATCTGTGGATGCCTGTTTTACTATAAGCCCCAATTTATTGTAAGAAGAATTATAGGCTCCATAAACACCTGACAAAAATATGCCATTTTGATCATCTTTTTCTAAATCAATTTCCCTCCATGCACCATCGATTGTTAAAATGATGCTTTTCTTTTCTTCAGTTGCAGGATCATATTAATTATTCACATGAAAAAAAAACTATTTTATTAGTTTTCAAAATAATAGGCAAATCATTGAAATTAACGAAATAAATTTGTCATTAAGGGCAATAACTCTCATATGAGTCAATAAATGGTTTTGGGTCATACAGCATTTCTGTAGATCTTCTTTTGCTGATCATTTTTGCAGTTTAGAGTGTCTGCATATCTTATTCTATTAGTTTTCAAGACAATAGGCAAAACCCTTATATTTGGAAACAAGAGGCTGTCAGAGTGACAGCAAACCGGATTTTCCTGCATGAAAATGATATTTGCAAATCTGGACCCCCAAAAAGGATAAGTAAAAATTAAACATTAACACACACAACAAAAATAAAATACCACATAACAACTGTGACATCTACCTTCAAAACAAACATGACTTAAAAAAAATAGTTATAAAGAAATTTTTTGACAACTCCTGACTAAAATCAATTGAACTGATACAATCATTGATAGACTATCTATCCATATACTTATCAATTACACCATTTCTGTTCCAAGGGAAATAACTCAAAATAAAAATAAATCATATAAACTGGAAATCTCATTTTCTGTTGTATAAACTATGTATAACTTTTCGCTCTGTTAAGGTCTACAACTCAGCAACAATAAAAGCTAAAATTGTAAAAACTTCTACAACGCATCATCTTAAAATTTGATAGAAACAAACTGTAATGTATTCTGTTGACAGTTATTATTTTTATACTCTCTACACTACACTTCCACACAATCTTATCAAGAAAAAGTTTTCATATTTAATTAAATGGTATTTTTAAAAATCTCATTGCAAATTTATTTGCTGTTACTCGTTTAAAGCCTTTTTCTGTAACGAAAAAGGAAAGTATGCTAGATACACTTACTAGAAATGTGAAGATATGATTGAAGCTTTAAATTTTCTCCTGGACAACATATATGTACGTTTCGGCGATAAAGTGTATCGACAGGTATTAGGTATTCCTATGGGCACTAATTGCGCCCCTTTAATAGCAGATTTATTCCTATATTGCTATGAATCACAGTTTATGGCCAAAATCAGTACAGACACATCATTGTTACATTTGGTTGACACATTCAACAATACCTACCGTTATCTTGATGATGTTTTTTCATTAAATAATCCAGAGTTCTTCAAATATACTACCGAAATTAACCCAAAGGAACTTACTTTAAATAAATCTTATATAAACAGCAGTAGTTGTCCTTTTCTAGATTTAGACATTTCAATTTCTAAAGGGAAACTCCATACAAAAATTTATGACAAAAGAGACGATTTTTCATTCCCTATTGTTAATTTTCCTTTTTTAGACGGCGCTGTTCCTTTGGCTCCATCATACAGTGTTTATATATCCCAACTCGTTCGTTATGCCCGTGTGTGTAGTGATGTCATAGATTTTAACGAACGTAATCAATGCATCACTGGTATATTATTAAGTCAGGGATTTCGTTACCATATATTGCTTAAAACATTTACTAAATTCTTTCATAGATACAAAGATTTGATTAGTAAATTTAGCTGTACCTGTAGAAAACTTATTAAAAACGTTATTTCACATCCTAAATTTTGCAGAATATTGTACTAAAAGCGCGGAAATCACTATGTAATCCATGAAAACTTAACGAACCTTTAAACAAACTTATTACTATAGGTTATCTTATTAATGTTGTAATAAGATCTTTGAATATTGTTTTCATTGGCACTAACATCGATTTTGTCATCAACAAATTAAAACATAACTAATTTTAAATTCTTTTCGAATGGTTTTTTGGGATGTATATATACACATCCACGTTTATTTTCTATTTAGCAATTGTCTTATCTATATATAACATCATACATATTTATAATAAGGTTAAATCCTAACTATCCTACTGCCTGTCAATACTTTTATTTTGGCATTGCACAAGTCATGTCTTCTTTGACTGTCCATGGCTTTAAAACACTAAATCCCTGCCTGGGATGTGTTTTAATTGATTTTAGCCTCTGATGCATGATTTTTTATTATGAATTGTTTTTGGCTTTTAACTAGCTTTCAGTAACTGTGAGTACTCTCAAATGGTACTTTCGTGTTAATTTGACCTGTTGACACAATTTGTAATGCATTTCTGTTATTCAATGTTTACTTATTTTGTGTTATATCTCATCTTACTATTTTTAATATGTACCACCTTTGATAAGTATTAAGTATGATGACAAATTTTCACTTCTGTACTCGTACTATGAACAACAAATTTATTTTGTAAACAAGAATGTGTCCATAGTACACACATGCCCCACTTGCACTATCATTTTCTATGTTCAGTGGACAGTGAAATTGGGGTCAAAACTAATTTGGCATTAAAATTAGAAAGATCATATCATAGGGAAAATGTGTACTAAGTTTCAAGTTGATTGGACTTCAACTTCATCAAAAACTACCTTGACCAAAAACTTTAACCAAAAACTTTAACCTGAAGCAGGAAAGACGGACGAACGGACAGACGGAAGGACGGACACATGAACGAACTGACGCACAGACCGAAAAACATAATGCCCCTAAGTGGGGCATAAAAATGTTTCGGTACTCCAAACAACAAAAATATTATATTTAAATTTACATGTGTACATTACTTTATTTATCCCCATTTTGTCCTAGGTTAAAGTTGTCTTTTTGACACAGATACATCTTTTTCATTTATATTGTGTCAAAGATCAAACTTATTCGTTCAGTGTATATTTACTTGTTTTATTTTACTATGTTTCAATTGATATTTTATTGTGTGTCTTTTTATGTTGTAATGTTACACCACTGTTTCAGGTTAGGGTGAAGGTTGGCATCTGTTAAAACGTTTAAACCCGCTGCATTTTTATGCACCTGTCCTAAGTCAGGAGCCTGTTGTTTAGTGGTTGTTGTTTGTTGGTGTGGTTCATAAGTGTTTCTCGTTTTTTATATAGATTAGACCGTTGGTTTTCCTGTTTGAATTGTTTTACACTAGTCATTTTGGGGACCTTTATAGCTTGCTGTTCAGTGTGAGCCAAGGCTCCTTGTTGAAGGCCTATAATTGTTTATTTTTTACACATTGTGACTTGGATGGATAGTTGTCTCATTGGCACTCATACCACATCTTCTTTTTTATATGTAGGTAGTTTTCGACACTGTAGCATTTGCCTGTTATGAATTTTAAGATATCATACAATTACTTCCTTTTACCAATATGTTCTATCTTAGACATTAGCAAGTTGGTTGAATAGCCTTGAGAAAAAACACAAACTCTATACTAGATACCTTAAGGATCATTCAAGTTTGGTTGAAATTGAAGAGATGAGTTTAGAAAACATTCAGAGATAAAGACAGACATCAAGTGAAGGTAATTGTTCACATTGCCCTTTTAACCAGATGAAATAAATATGAGTTAACTCAGCTGTAGGTTTCTCTTTTACCATTAACTATCTGGAAATAAACTCACTTGTGAAACCTGTGTTAAAATTCCTTTCATAGAACCATGGTAAATGTAAATTGCTCCTTTCCCTTCTTTTCCCCCGTATGGTGCCCCTACTGCTAAATCTGAAAAAGTAATTGCCTTTGAATAAATAAATCTATTGATACGTCTTAGGTGTATACTTTCTTTCTTCAAAAACATGATTTAGTTCAAAAAGAATTTCATATGTAAATAATAAGGAAATATGAAGTTGATATCATTCTAGATGGAAATACAAATAAAATAGTAAAAAATTGTACCAAAAACTACTCTTCTATAATAATCCTGATAAAATAGGAATGTTAACACAAAAGTTTATGAAAAATAACTCTTAGTTCATTGAGTATTCTTTTCAAAGATAATGGTTTTTTGTATGTTTTTCTAAAATCATAAAATCATACCTTTATATCCATCATAGTTGATGTCACCAAGTCCTGTCAACGCAGCTCCAAAACGAGATTTAGCATCATGTCCTTCTAATATATCATATCGTTTCTTTGGATTAAACTGTCTCTGAAAATAAACCACAAATTCCCAATCATCATTACACAAAGAGCCATGACAAGATTTCATGTGAAAAATATACTAAAACATAAAGTTAGATTTCAATGTTAATGTGAATAATTACAAATCTATATTGTACAGTTGTATAACAATACAGTATTTACCTCACCAATTGTTAACAGGTACAATAATAACAGAGAAATATAGATGGCATTTATTCATTTGCCTTACAAAGCCAATACCCAGTGAAAATTTGCAAGGTACTATGGTAACAAATAAGATATCAGAAAATACACAAACCTGTCTATTTTGGTAGTACACATAGACTCTGCCAGTATCATAGCTATTTACAGAGGTGTAATTTGAATACAGTGGTGCTCCAACAATAATGTCATCAAGGCTGCAAAAAAATGTGAAAAACTAGAATTTACACATTTTGAAAATATAAACCTTAAGTTAATTATTGCAATTATTACTAATATTCACTCTCTTCAAAAATGTGTGGTATATAGAATCAGAATATATTTTTATTATTTTCCAATAAAGGGTTCACAGGGGTCATACAACATAGCTTAAAGTTATATTTAGTTTTAAATAGCAGACAAGGTGTTGCTAAAGAACAGAAGACACCATGAGAAGATATAAGGAAAAGGGTTGTACCGCCTCTATATCTGCAAAGTACATTTATTTATGCTTATATGTATTTAAAGATAATCCATTAATCAGACAAGTTTATACCACTTACATAGATTTTGTAAACTTTGCCCAACTGTAAGAAATTTTACTCAAATAAATTGGTTGGATCATGTTGTTGGAGTAAGTGACCCAACCCAAGTCAATTATGCCACAAAGATTTAATGTACAATTCAATTTTTAAAACAATTTGCAAGGGCTCGGCCAAAAGATGTTCCTCTTTACAGAAAATTGTTTGTATTCTTAACAGTTTACTACTTAATAAGCTAAATTTGCTAATTCATCATCAAATAAATTGAAGTAGAAATACCATTTAAATTATGCTTCATATATAATTCGACATAATGGAACACTTCTTACAAAAAGATATTATAATGTAAGATCAAATATCAAACCGAAAATATTTTGTAACCTGTGAACTACACATCAGCTGATTACACCATATGTTTAAGAATATTACATAATATTAAGAAGATTCCCACATCTGACACAATCTGGCAGGACCATCAACATTCCATGGAATTTATTGCTTCATAACAGTTATTTCTACCTGATATAACATTAACTAGAATGTCTTACAGTGTAATAACATAATATCAATGTAATAGGCAATGCAATAACAGAACAAAGACCCGTATTTAAATAGATCCATAAGTCTTTGAACACCTATCTCTGTTTACATTGTTGTAATGAGATTATGTATTGACTTGTGACCACTAAATCAGTTAACACTAAAAAAGATTTGCTTCAATCTAATTCTTCTAGAAATCCTGTATCATTTTCAAAACAGTCTTAGTCTGGGAGAGTATGATTCATTTATCAGTTGCAATTGGCTTTCAGTAACTACGAGTACTCTTAGATTAGTACTTTGCGTATTTTGTATTTTTTGTGCTTCTTCCCAATTTTGATGAGTCTAGCCAATTTGATTTATTTTTAAAGCTGTTCTCATGTTGTGTTGTTACAACACTGTGCAAAGATAGTGGAGGGTTGAGCACTTACAAACATGTTTAACCCTGCCATATTCTTGGGCAAAACTTCAATTGCTTGCTGTCTGTCATATTTGATTTTTTTCGTTTATTGTTTTCACTGAGAATTTCCAAGGAGTCAAAGTATCATCTCTAATTAAACGGAATTTTGGTATAATTGTTAGCAAAGGGAGAGAACCACACTACAAGTTGAATTATATGGGAGTGAAATATCCAAGCTAATCCTGTGATTTGATTGGTTACTTTGACAGGGGATATCAGCCCATATACCCCTGTGAACGAAAACAAAGATAAGAATGGTATTTAATGTTGAAATTAGGACACTCCAGTATAAATATATATGTTAATCCGATTTCAAAGGGATATTGGCTCATATACCCTGTCTGTCTTTTATATCCCCTGAGCCGTCTATGACGATCCCAATTTAACATATCATATCCAATGTAAAGCTGGATGGAAAGAAACATTCAACATAAAGAAAGGTTAAACATGGACAAATCAGCATTCAAACCTTAACAATAGGGTATTCATCCTCCTCAGATGATTCCTGTTATACCACAAATCTGCTACAAAAAAACCTGTACCATTTCAGAAAAGGGTATCAATCTTATCTTAAGAATTTTAGTCTCTGTGTGAAACTGATGCTTTTGTGGTCATAGAAAAATGTGTTTGCAACCAGAACTTTAACCTTCAATCCACTAACAAGTTCAGTCTGTTGTAAAATGCATACTTACTTGTTACCATCCAAGTCCTGTACAGCTAAGGCATAACCAAAATATGCTCCAACCTAAACAAGACAAAACTTATATCATATGTAAACAATAAAAACTTGTGATGATAAACAATGTATATCAAATGGACAACTGGTTTCAATTAAAATCTGTTTTAATGTTCTGTAAACAATGTCTTGGATAAATTATTTTTTCATTAGTTGTTATTGGCATTGAAGTAGCTTTCAAAAACTGTAAGTACTCTCAAATCAGTACTTTGTGTTTTAGTATTTTTGTTAGTTGTTTTGTCTTTTGTATAGATCTGACAAATCAAGTCCATTTCAACTGATTTGCATAGTTTGTTCCTATGCTATGCTGTTAAACCACTGTCCCAGATCAGGGTGAGGGTTGAGTGCTGGAAAACATTTTTCACCCCGCCACATTCTGTATGTACCTGTCGCAAGTCAGGAGCCTGTAATTAAGTGGTTTTTCGTTTGTTGGTGTATATATTTGTGTTTTTATTCTTGCTTTGTACATAAATCAGTTCTGTAGTTTTTTTCGTTTGAATTGTTTTACATTTTTCAGGTCATGGCCTTTTATAGCTTGCTGTGTGGTATGGGTTTTGCTCATTGTTGAAGGCTGTATGGCAACTTTAGTCGTTAACTTCTACGTCATTTGGGCTCAGGTGGATAGTTGTCCCATAGGCAATCATTCCTCATCTTTTTATTTTTATAATGTACTATTAAATGATCTTCAGTTTTCAGAAATACGATCAAAGTAAGCAAAGATTATATTCTAAATTTTGGCCAGTTGATACATTTATAAAATTATAATGGGTGGTGGCTGGGGTTTGATGAAATTTTCTGCATATCATTTCAAGCATTCACTTTAACTGTTGAAGGGAACTGGAGTATTTGGGATAAACATTACTGAAACTGAATGACAAGCTTTGCAGCTGATAACAATGTGCTTAGGTTTTTTTTGTGGGTTTTTTTTTTCAAATGTGGCAATTAATCCTTGCTGTGGAGGAAACATGCTTATAAAAGATAACAGACAGAGGACAGTCTAGTGAAGAGACTACTCAATAACTAAGTACCCTTATCATCTAAGTTTAACACATTTTGAGAAATCAAACAATTAGGATCTTCTCAAAAAATGAGAATGACACTTTTCAAACCATTTTCTTTGAAAAACACTGAAAACCCATTAAATTGTGAAAGATTGATGTTAAAAGCATTTAATTTTTGTATTGAGAAAAACCGTGAATGTTAAATTGCATCACTTAAGATAAGCATTTATTACAGAGAGCTGTTATATAAATTAATTTCAATGCTGAATTCCTGATTCTGACTTTATAATAATCTGCTATTTAAAGTTGACCCACAAAGATACTGGTATTTACTTAACTTTTATACAGAAACTATAAATTCCACACATTTCATCATAGACGAAAGTACAGTAGGATTTGTAAAACCAAAATATTCTATTGTAGCAGAGCCAAAATTATTTTACAAATACAAACAGAATGTGTCAATGGGACACAGATACCCAATGATTTATGTACAAAGCAATAAAAATAATATGATATACACGGTACACCATATATATTATGTTAGGTTGAAAAACAAAACAGAAGTTGGTCAATTTCGACCTGTATTTGTGTTTGTGGCGCCTAACAATATTTCCAAATACTTTGGTAGAGCCTTATTTAAGTTAATATAACTATAAACTGTTTTCAGATATATATACAGACAAATTTCAAATCATTACAAAACAACAATCATTATAAATATAAGGAAATGTGGTATGATTGCCAACGAGACAACTATGATGTCGAGATGATGAACAGCGTTTTTTCAATGATCGTTGTTTATTTCTGAGCAGATTGTTGTTTCACATACATGTCTCCAATATGAACAAACTATAATAGTACAATAGATAGTTGTAGCATTACATCATGAAGAATGACAGACTTATTCTATAAATATCCTAAGCATCTACAATGATCCATAAATAAAGATTCTTGGTGCCAAGGCGTTAAAGATGTCTGTCAATAGATATGTCTTGTTCAGTAACAGGTATCCAGAGAAATAGCAATAAAAAAATCACTAATGCAGATAACTAGATTTATATATGTAGAAAAATATTTGGATTAAATGTAATAATAGTCAAATCAAATCTGTGGGATTACTAATTCAAACATGATCTTTTCAAAAAGTATAGAAATACTTATATAGTTTGTGTGTGAGGTTTGAACCCATTCTCTTAAAGCATCTTTCTATTTTACCATCAACTGTCCATTACACATCAAACATGCCACCACCAACACTTCAACATATTTAAAAATAAGGGAAATCTGAGATTTAACTCAAACAGTACACAATAGTAAATGAATCAGAGAAGTTCTAAACCAAATATCTGGGATTTATACTACAAATTGCTGATGCCTTTCAAAGTCATTGACACAATAATCTGATCTCAAATGACCCACTTCACTAAGCATTCCTTATCAGGAGTGACTGTAGTAAAGTGGTTCATAAATTTTACTGGAGACTGGGAGGTGATTGAGGGGATGGGTTACAATTGTCTGTAAAACATTTTGATGATAATTAATAACCATATTATTTCTATGCAAAAATGAAAAAAAAGTAGTAGTGCTTATTGTGAATATACTGAAAAACATTTACTTATCAAATTGGTTTAAGTGTTAATTTGCTCTTTCATCAAATTAAATTCTCTTTTAATACATTTTTTTAATAATATTTCCAAAGAATATGCCCATTAAATAAATCTAGGTAAAAAATCTAGCTGATAATTTCTTTGTATTAGAAGAGGGCTATTAAAATTCCTATAGAAAACTTCTTCCTCATAAAATTGGCTGTATAATGAAACATAGATTCCTTTCTTCTAGAAATCAACTGACTTTGTTATATTATTTTGCATCAGCAGCCTGTAACTGATTACCTAACACAAGTCTATCATAAACAGAAAATTAAGTAACAAGTTCTGGACAATTTCCAAAGTTACATGCTGAATATGTATATCTGTCTTACACTTTAAGATTGTATGTAATTAATCTTATTTAGATTAAAAACTGGTTTTAAATTACATTAATTTTCTAATGAGAACACTCCTAACATAAAAGAGGAACTATTTGAACTTCAACCTTTTTCAATTTTAAGATGACAAGGCCACAGCATATCGAAATTAATTTTACACTGTGAAAAAGGCAAGCTAAGTGCTTCCTTCAGAAAAATGAATGTTATATATCTTTTATTATCAAAGTAAGCGCAAACTCCATTACTGAATTAATTGGCTTTATACAGAAATACCAAGTGAAAAATCATCAATTCACTAAAGGTTCATCTTCACATGAAAAAAATCCAATTTCAGGACCAATTCTAAGAAAGGAAGAAACTTGTGCTTAGTCTATCCTTGTGATTTTCAAATTATATATCATGATTGATGGAAAACTAATATTACAATTAAAATATACTAGTTATTCTTTTTCTATTCAGATGCAGTCATTAAACAACTCATTGTTAAAACTAGTAGAACTAAAACTCCATTAACCTATTCTAATTTATTGAATCCATGATGATGTGGTTGCTCTGACATAATCTTAATTGTTTTAAACAGTGACCTTCATCTACCTGACAGCCATTCAATTCATTGATGTATTACTTAATTTCTAATCAGTAAGTAAAAAGACAAATATATTAGCCTTTTGTGAATGTCATTAGCAACGATTTTAGGATGTGTGACTATGATCAAATCTTACAGAAGAAAAATATGATCCAGACACTACCTGACTTGATCCAAACAGGTTAAGCAAAATTATAGCCAAACACCCTTTTAACAAGCTGTCAGAAACTTTAACATCATTTAATCATCCAGTAAAGAGCTGTTAACAAAATGCTCCGAAGCGCGCAGCTTGATACAAATGCAGAGGCCCAAGTTAAATTTTGGAGCCTTTGGACCTTAATTATGACTAATTTGAAAACCATGCCCAAAAATCAAAAATCTAAATACACGGTTAGATTCAGCATATTAAAAAATCAAAGAATACCCGACTTTGAGTCAAACCCCATTGAAATTGGTAAAAAAATAAGCAATTTATATGAAGTATTAGATTAGCATTGTTTTTTGGCCCCTTTTTCACCCCTAATTCCTAAACGGTTAGGGCAATGACCCCAAAAATCAATCCCAACCGTTGTTTTTTGGTATGGAACCTTGTGGTACAATTTCATAGCAATCCATAGACTTATACTCAAGTATTTTCTGGAAACCAGAAAATCCTTGTTTTTGGGCCCCATTTTGGCTCCAAAACCGTTTGGGCCATAACCCCAAAATCAATCACCTTTCTTTTGAAGTATGGAACCCTGTGGTACAATTTCTTAGAGATCCATACACTATACACAACTTATTGTCCTGAAACAAGAAAAATGCATGTTTTTGGCCCCTAATTCCTACACAGTAAGGACAATAACCCCAAAATTGTTGATGTCGTATAAAAAATTTGTTATAACAGTAAAAGGGCTAATTTTGAAAGAAACAGGAAAACTTTCGCGCCAAAAAAAAACCAGTGGATCAAAATTTTTCAGTCATTTGTAGTGTCAATAAAGTTCTGGTAGACTTTGAACTAATAAGCAACTGTCTTTGGTAAGCCTGGTTCATTAAACCTGTGTACCACTGAGATAGTTTAACTCACCTGTTCTCCTGTTATATTTCTAATGATGGCTAGTTCCTGTGTGTAGATTGTTATCTGAAAAACATTAACAAAGTTGATCTGTATAAGAAATATACTACACAATTACTGTCTTTTGATGAGGTAAACATGTGGTTTTATTTACTTTAAAGAAAATGTTCACTAAGTGCTCAACATAGCTAAAGTAAATACATAAAGTTTACTTATTTTACCAAATAAAAAATACAGTATTCGTTATTTTAAACTGGCCTTTACAAAGCATAGGCTAACACATTAATCTATAAATCATGTCTATGCCATTCTCTACAGCAACCTTATAATCAAATATAGTTATTCAGTTCATTAAGATTTTTGATAATCTACTTTTTATGATTGTGGTAAAATAAAGCTGAAGATGACATTTATTTCATAGTTACCTGTCCTCGAAGAAGTTCTGCTCTAGGCACTCCAACTACATATTCTGAAACAAAAAGCAATTTGCTATTGATAATACATAGCACATTTGAGTGAGCTTATGAATGTATGAATACTTACTTGGTCACTATTGCTTATTTAGCCATAGCATGTTTAAGCTTTTGTAGTAATGGTTGATTCATTCTTCCACTAGATGATTTATGACTCTCTTAATAATTGATTAATTTGTTATTGTTGGTTACACATTATTAACACAATCTGATTAATATAACATTTTCATTTTTCATAGGACCTGTCTACAGATTTGATGAAACTAATTTTCCATTACATTCAGAGGCTGGAATGTGTATCATTTCTGTGTCAATATTTGCTGGTAAATGATCCAAAGCATTGGGCCTATAGGAAATGCACTGTTTGAAGACATTTATCAGTGGTACAGAAATGGTCTCAATGTACTCATGGAATCTGTCTGGTGCTAATATTTATGGCTCTATGTCATCTTTTACAATGTAAAAAGAAACATAGGTCATGGGGTAAATGTCTTATAGAAAGCAAACCTTAATAAAATGCTCCACAGGGCGCAGCTTGATACGACCGCAGAGGTCGAACCCTGAACAGTTGGGGCAAGTATGGACACAACATTCAAGCTTGATACAGCTCTGAATTTGGATTGTGATTAAATATTTGACACAGCATAGGTTTCTGACACAGAATGAATGTGGTCTAAGAACTTAAAAATTTTAAATTGGACATTCACCTATTATGGTCCAATATCCAAAATCTAAATACATGGTTAGATTCAGCATATCAAAGAACCCCAAGAAATCAATTTTTGATGAAATCAAACAAAGTTTTATTTTAGACCCTTTTGACCTCAATGTGGACAAAGTTGATAACGGGGCCCAAAAATCAAAAATCTAAATACATGGTTAGATTCAGCATATCAAAGAACCCCATATATTCAATTTTTGTTGAAATCAAACAAAGTTTAATTTTGGACCCCGATTTGGACCAACTTGAAAACTGGGCCCATAATCAAAAATCTAAATACATGTTTAGATTCAGCATATCAAAGAACCCTAAAAATTCAATTTTTGTTAAAATCAAACTAAGTTTAATTTTGGACCCTTTGGACCTTAATGTAGACCAATTTGACAACGGAACCAAAAATTAAGAATCTAAATACACGGTTAGATTCGGCATATCAAAGAACCCCAATAATTCAATTTTTGATGAAATCAAACAAAGTTAAATTTTGGACCCTTTGGACCTCAATGTGGACCAATTTAAAAACGGGGTCCAAAATCCAAAAACTTAATACACGGTTAGATTCAGCATATTAAAGAACCCCAAGAATTCAAGAATAAAACCCCATTGAAATTGATCAAGAAATAAGCAATTTATACGAAGTATCTTCTTTTGCACAATACTGTGCAATTGAATATTTCTTGCTATTGCGCAATACTGTACAATTGACAATTTCTTGCTATTGCGCAATATTGTGCTATTGGATATTTCTTGCTATTGTGCAATACTGTGCAATTGAAGATTTCTTGCTATTGTGCAATACTGTGGAATTGAAAATTTCTTGCTATTGCACAATACTTATTATATAATAATTCACACATCCTGTTTGGTGTGTATCTCCTACCATATCATTATTATTTGCTTTTAAATATAAATCAGAAATAACCAACTTAAAACGGAAAATTTTAAAAGAAAAAAAAAAGGAAAAAAAGAAGAAAAAAAAAATCCCCCCCCCAAATTTTTTGAACCCCCTTATGATTCATCACCCCCAAACTCAATCCCAGCCTTCCCTTTGTGGTATGGTACCTTGCAGTACAATTTCAGAGAGATCCATACACTTGAACACAAGTTATTGTCTGGAGACTAAAAAAATGCTTATTTTTGGCCCCTTTTGGCCCCCAATTCCTAAACATTTAGGGCAATTACCCCCAAACTCAATTCCAGCTTTCCCTTTGTGATATGGAACCTTGTAGTACAATTTCATAAAGATCCAAACACTTACACACAAGTTATTGTCATGAAACTAGAAAAATGCTTGTTTTTTGCCCCTTTTTTGGCCCCTAATTCCTAAAATTTTGAGGCAATTACCCCCAAAATCAATAACACCCTTCCCTTTGTGATATGGAACCTTGTGGTACAATGTCAGAGAGATCCATACACTTACACACAAGTTATTGTCTGGAAGTTACAAAAATGCTTATTTTTGGCCCCTAATTCCTTAACTGTTGGTACCATAACCCCCAAAATCAATCCCAACCTTCCTTTCGTGGTATTGAACCTTATGGTAAAATTTCATGGAGATCCATTCACTTAAACTAAAGTTAGAGTGCGAAAACCAATGTGTCTTCGGACGCAGTGGACGACGCCGGACGACAACGACGACGACGACGACAAAACCAATATACGACCAAAAAATTTCAATTTTTGCGGTCGTATAAAAACAAATGATATGGTCTTCCTTGCAGGAAACCATACCATGAGACAAATTCTATTGCCCACAGTGTGAACATTGAATAAATTCAACGGAGACAACAAAATAGCTTTATATTGATCTGAGCAGAAATAAGACCATAAAGTGCTAAAAGGCTCATGAATTTTAAGAAAAGTCATGCATGGTGTCAAATTTGAATCCCCCCCCTCCCAAAAAAATATCTAGTTATTTCTTCTTAAATTATTAATTTTGTTTTGTGTTTCAGGGTTCTCCCAAGATCCATGAAACCAATTATAACTATGAAAAGTTAAAGTATCAAGTTTCACTTACCCTGTATAGAATCTTCATTAAAGTTTCCCACAGCAGAAGAATATCCTAAAAGTATAACAAATGTATTATCAAGCAAATTTCTCTAGGTGTAAATCTAACTTTAAATTGAACATTAAACCATAGTCTTATATAATTTGAAAATGATTTGGACAAGGCTATATTTCCTAACAAATGCAGATACATTTACTGTATAATATAGAACTTATATGGACTTAACTGAATTAGCAGTGATATCAGTCATATAAGTAAAGAAATCAGTCTTATTATTAGTAAAGATATCATTCATTATATTCTTAAAGAAATCAGTCATAACATCAGTAAATATATCAGTCATAATATAAGTAAAGAAATCAGTCAGAACATAAGTAAAGATGTCAAGTCATTATATCATTAAAGAAATCAGTCATAATATAAGTAAAGATATGTCATAAAATAAGTAAAGGAATCAGTAAAGATATCAGTAAAGGAATCAGTCATTATATCAGTAAAGATATCAGTCATTATACAAGTAAAGATATCAGTCATAATATCAGTAAAGAGATCAGTCAATATATCAGTAAAGATATCAGTCATTATACAAGTAAAGATATCAGTCATAATATTAGTAAAGAAATCAGTCACTATATCAGTCATTATACAAGTAAAGATATCAGTCATAATATCAATAAAGAAATCAGTCAATATATCAGTAAAGATATCAGTCATTATACAAGTAAAGATATCAGTCATTATACAAGTAAAGATATCAGTCATAATATATGTAAATAATCAGTCATAATACATGTAAATATATCACAGTCATAATATCAGTAAGAGATATCAGTGATAAGATAAGTAAAGATGTTAGTCATAACTAGATATCATTGAGATGGGAGCCATCTCTGTGGGCCCCGCTGTGAATAATGTGTGGTAAAAAATTTGTATCTTTATCATTGGACATGGGGTTGTCAACTAAAACCAATGTTTATGACCTTGACCTTTGACCTAGGAAGTTGTACATAAATTATGACACACCCTCTGGTGTTGGTTTATATACATGTTAAGTATAAACATTGAAATCATAACGGTTCTCAAGATATAGAGCGAACACGATCTTTACCATAGGACATGGGGTTGTCAACTAAAACCAAAGTTTTTGACCTTGACCTTTGACCTAGGAAGTTGTACATACATTATGACACACCCTCTGGTGTTGGTTTATATACATGTCAAGTATAAACTATGAAATCATAATGGTTCTCAAGATATAGAGCTGACACGATCTTTACCATAGGACATGGGGTTGTCATTAAAACCAAAGTTTTTGACCTTGACCTTTGACCTAGGAAGTTGTACATACATTATGACACACCCTCTGGTGTTGGTTAATTTACATGTAAAGTATAAACTTTGAAATCATAACGGTTCTCTAGATATAGAGCGGATACAATTTTTTAAGGACGGACAGACGGACGGACAGACGGACGTACAGACGGACGGACAGACAGACGGACGGAAGGACGGACAGACGGACAGACGGATGGACAGACAGACTGATCACTATAGGGCGTCCGCCATTCGGCGGGGCCCTAATTAAAGAAAAGATATCAGTCTTAATTTTAGTACAAGTATAGGACCCTGTTTACACTTGTACAAAATCGAACTGATCTTTATTTGAATCGATCTTAAAAAAGACCAGTTTGCGTTTACATTTGCACAAGCAAGATCGATTGAGATTGATCTTATTTAATCTAGTGCATTTACACTGCAACATAAAAAGAACGGGTCTGACCTGATTACAAATAATCTTAATAAAAGAATAGTATGATAATGTGTGCATCTCACAGGGACAATCACACACTGCAAAATCATGGAGAAAATAGTTGGATCATAGGATCATTGGAATTATGTATGCAGTTATTAATTACTATTGGTTCGCACGTCACCATTCATTAAACAAAGAAATGTGAGAAGACTATCACTTAAAAATGAATGGTCAATGCATTTGAAGGTGAGGATTTGCAGCAAAGAAATAGTATTTATTGATTCAGAAGAATGATCCAAAAACGGCGGAATCTATATATACTGTTCTTATCCCATCCATCGTTTTTAAACATGTGTGTTTTTGCCGCCGAAACATGAGCTGATTTATTTTCATATCTTAATATAACATTCACTTGAAGAAAGATCGATCGCAATCTATCTAAGCCTTTACACTTGAAGAAAGATCGATTCAAATAAGATCTATCTTTTTAAAACCATCTCTGGAGGTGGACTTTTTAAGTCCGATTGAAGATTAATTCCCCGTTTACATTAGACTAAAGATCGGTCTTTTTAAGATCGATCTCAAGAAAGATCGATCTTTTTTAAAAGTGTAAACGGGGTTTAAGTCATATTCTAAATGAAGATATTAGTCATAATATAAGCAAACATCAGTCATAATTTAGGCAAAGATTAAATTAAAATATCAGACATAAATTAAGTAAAGACATCAGTCATAATTTAAGTAAAAACGTCAATCATAATTCATACGGCAACTAAGTCTTAATTCAAATACATTTTATATTTCAAGACAATATCTGGTTATTCAAAAACATGTATAAGTAAATATATCAGGCATAATTTAAGTAAAGATATAAAATCTTGGTATCAGCAAAGATATCAGTCATAATTTAAGTAAAGATATTAGTCATCAGAGAGCAAAAAGATCTGACTTAATTTAGGTTAACATATCAGGGCTCTCCGTCATAAAACCCTACTCAGTACTTGGAGCACACAATTTGTGCTCGGAACACAAAATCCAGTATTGTGATTGGTGGAATTTGGAGTCTGGATGTTGAAATCCTATGAATTGCGTCAAGCATTGTAGATAGTTACTGTATAAAGCTAAGCTATGTCACTTGTGTAGATTAACCATACCCCTATAGGAATCATCATATAACATTCCACCTTCTTTAGTAGATACAGCTTGATTTCCTTTATCTAAGTAGATATTGTACACTTGCCCTGGAATACAAAGCAAATATATACATGATAGATTAAAGATTAATTTTCTACAAGTATACAAAAATATTTCATTTTCTGTTTAAATTTGTTTTATACACATTGTCATGCAAATATGACTGGAAATATTAAATGGATGATCTATACTGACCTTGCCAGTAGAAAGCCCCTGGTGCACCAATCAACAATCTGTTTCCATTCTACAAGTATCCAATCACATTTCATTATTCAAAGTAACATAATGAATAAAATATGACATATTATTTACAGGAAGAAAATAACTATGCAAGTATATACAGAAATATAAATTATTATATATTAATTTGGAATATATTTATCTCAAACCAAAAATCATGAGAAAAAACTTAATATTTCAGCAAATAAATATACTTTGTACCCACCAGGGGAGTTAATTTTTATTGATTAATTTCTAATTTAGTTACAGTGAAAAAGAAGTGTTCAAAACATCACTTCTTTCAATTTTAAGATATGACAGAAATTAGTATTTGGTTTTCATGTCCTTTCTAATCACAAAAAAGTTATTTTTTACACAAGTTTGGAAAATCTCATTTAAATGGCAAACTAGGAAATTTGTTCATTTGAAATAAATAAATTGCTGCTCCCTCAAATGGCATTTAAACCATGTGTTTTCTGTTCAGAGGTAAGTCGTGAGTAGATAAGGATAACTTTTGAACTTCACTATCTAAGATCTTACATAAAACAAGTCCTTTGCCTAATTTTTTCTTTCAACCAAAAACAAGTCAAAATATTTACTTCTGTTTTAGATAACAAGGTGAAATTAGAGAATTTTTATTAAGAATTTTATTAATCTAATCAAGAACCCATAAAGGGCATCATTTACAACAATATTAAGCACAATATGATTGGAAAAAAGAAAAACTATATCCTAATATAATACTATCATATATTGGACAGGATCAGAGCCTAACACATCATGTGTCTTACATAACATTAACAATAATTGCATAATAATTTTATATATTTTGTATCCACCTGGATCTTATTTCTAAACACTTAATTATATAATTGCCTAGGCACATAAGAGTTGGTAAATGCTCATTTGTGAACAGCCAGAAATATTTTTTATCCTTGGGTAATTCTTTAAAATTATTACAAAAACTGTTTACTTTATCCCATAATAATTTTCTCTGTTCGTTATATAAAGGACAACTTACTGTGAAATGGGTCTCATCTTCAATAGAATTTGATCCATGTGATAGGCAGTGATGACATAGACGCTGACTTCTCTCTATGTATTTTTTACTATACCTATCTTTCTCAATTTTAAGATCATGTGCACTTATTCTCAATTTACATATAGCTCTTCTTATATTAAAATCTTTAATTGATAAATAAGCCTCCTTTACGAAGTCAGTCTTGAGGTTGAAATAATTTTCTAATTTACTATTACCTTGTGATAAGGTATCAGATCTTTTGACCCCCCAAAATGTTTTAAAACTGTTACAAAGTTTACATTTTACAAATTTAATTAATCTATTGAGCTTTGTATTCAAATTTTGTATATCAAGTGATTGAAGGACATATCTCATAGATGAATACCAACAATTAATGTTTCCTGCATCTAAAATTTTATTACAAACATAAGCATCATAAAGTAACCCATCGTCCAATTTGTTAAGCCTGTGTACATATTTTACCATAGATATAATGACAGAAAAATAAAGAGGAAATCTTGCAACCTCTGATAACACTGCCAAATTTGAGGCTTTTTTATTTACACCAAGAATATATTTTAGATACCTGAAATGTGATTTTTCCAAATAATCATTTATGTAAATTAATTCAAATAGATAATCACTTTTTTTCTTGCAAGCAGCAGAGTTAATCTTAAAGGTACCCCAGATTTCACTACAATATAATAAAATTGGTTTTATTGTGTGATCATATAAATGGATTGCAGTATCAATACTTGGATTACAAGCTGACATGGATTTTTGTAGTTTAAATTTTGCCTTTAAGGACTTTTTGAATAGCTCTTCTTTCCCCTGCTGAATTATAAATAGAAGTGCCTTATTCAAATTTGAAGTTTAAACTGTAAAGTATCTTATTTTCCTTGTGAATCCAATAAATAACTCAGTAACAGCAGAGCTGTGACAGAGAAGACTCTACCATTTTGTTATTAAGATTTACCCTTTAAAACATATATTGGAGAAAGTCTTTAACTCACATTTGCTAAGGATGCACTGAATCCTGCTTGACAAAATCCTTGTCTATGAAAACCCCAATTAGCTGAAACAAGAAGGAGCATTCTGTCTATACTAACGTTCTATCTATGGATATAATGTATAGACAACACAAACCAGAAAGTGCATTTTCAGGACATAAGATCAAACTAAAAAAAATCTGTAAAATATCTTGGGATGTGTAAAAACTGGGAAAAAATATTCAAGACAAAACTGTGTGTAATATTTTCAATGAAAAGTTAGGAAAATTGTGAAGGACAAATGCGTTCAAGAAAACTGAGGAAAAAATAATACTTTTGGGTAAAAAATAAATTATCCAACAAGACAGAAGGTTAAAATGATTTTCTAAGAAACAAGAAATATGGCAAACAACAAATGGTTAGGGCAATATTTCTAAATAATGCAGTAAAATAGATATATATATATGGACAAAAAAGGGGAAGGACCTAGCTAACTGTTCTTTATTGAGGGGCCATAAATCATCTCTGAATTTCAGAGCCAATTTGTATGGAGAAATTTAAATTGTGAACTCACTTCAGACTATAGTATTCAGTTATGTACTAAATGTACTTTCTGGTTTACACATGAACAACACAAGTATTACTGTTCAGTGACTTTACAAATATAGAATAAAGAAATAAGTAAATACAGAAAATTTGATAGAAGACTTAGAAAAAGAATATATATATATATGCTGCCATTATATATCAAAGTTGATTGAATGTAAAGTCACTGTAAAAGAAAATAAAGCACATTTTGTCATCGAGTTTCAAATTTTTTGTTTGTTAAACCAACATCACAACAATGCTTAATCTTGTCCATATAATGCAAAATGTTTGTATGTATATTGAAAAAAATCAAGAGAAGTTACTTGTGGCAGGAACATTTAGCTTTTTTGTGAATTTTAAATGGCTGCCATAAATATTCAAACAGCCATAAATATTCAAACATTAAAGTATGTAAGGGTACTTTTTGTGTTTTTTTTTTTAATTATAACTTATATAGTTATTGTGATGCTAGTAATATTGACCTGAAAATTATAGAAAAACATCTTTTGAATTGAGAATCTCATCTGAACAGTCCCTTAATATAGTTGTGTAATAGACAAAATGTGCCTCTCTCAGAGCTCTGTATAAAGTGCATAGAATGGCAGCCAGTAGCAATCAGAGAGCCTGATTATGTACTGATAAAAGCTTCTAATCTTGGTCCTTTATACTTTCAAGTTTTTGTCACTAAATGCAGTTTGCCTATATATGCAATAAACTTAATCTGCAGCTGCATGTAGCTATTTATTTGATAGTTTCTGAATCTACTTTGAGTGCCATGCACAATATCAAATTGACTCATCATATATCATAACTATTCGTCAACTATATTCATGCTATATGTCACTGTTCTATTATTATGATTTATTTGTACATGTATGTGGAAATATAATTGAGCTACCTCCCCTTACAAAGCTGAAGAAGAAGAAATATTGATTTGCCAAAGGGAGACAATAAATCATTAAAATAAATCATTACCTTTGTCACAATTATTTCCCATTCCTTAAACTATGTAATGAGAGGTTACTCACTTTTTCCCATCTGTTAACTTAGTTTATTTTAAAAAAACATGTCCAAAACGCTGATATAAAAACACACATAACACAACTTATATATATTATATTCACAAAATTGATTTATAAGACAAGAAAATACTGATATACAAAGGACACAACATATAAACAATACACAGACAACATTTCTAAAATTTGATTAATTCCTAATTATTCTTATGAAAACTATTGTCATTCAACACAGCAATATTAAAGTTTATAAATATGACATTCATCATCAATAAATGTCAATTCTAATACACATTATTTTCTAAAATTACTTACTTCTTTGTGATAACAATAAGTCTCCTCAAAGTTATGAATCTGGCTGTTACCCAAATACACTATATTGTTTGCATTTATAAATACATGTATATAATATATACAGTATTATTAACTAGTCAAACAGGAATCAAATATAATTTGCTAATTTCTTCCACAGAGACAATTGTTTGATGTTTTATCAAACTAAGTCACAAAGTACAACTCCAAATAAAATAAAAAGGATGACAACATGATTCTCCAATCTGCAGACTTGATCTGCAACTTAACATAATATAATTGATATCATTTTTTTTTAAATCAATTTTCCAAAATCCAGCCTCACTGGAAATCTATGAAACCTATTTTGTATCTCAACATCAGGCAAATACATCTGGAAATTATATGTAGAAACCAACAACAATAAAAAGTTAGTGCAAGTAAATGTGGAATTTTCATGATATTTCCTATTCTAAGGGTTATAATTATGGAGCATGTCAACTGCATATACTAATATATTTGATTTCCCGATTCATTTATTAGGATATTGCATGTAAATAAAGCAGATGTCTGAATGCTAAGTTCTATCAAAAATGTCAGTTAAATGTTGTTTTCAGAATAACATAGGTGTCAAAGCAATGTAATAGCACAGGAAGACAGGGTGATTATAAAAAGAAAGTAGTACCACCAGAAGATCAATCTTTTCTTTTACATGAGCAAACAACCAGAAAATTTTATTCTTACTAATAATAAGAACTGACAGACATAAACATATGTGAAACAACATTATCATTTTTGTGCTGTCATTTAAGCAAGTGGTGGAAAATCTTGAAAAAAATATACATAATAACTGCATCCTATTCAGATAAATTGGCAAATATCAAACGTCTCCATTGAAAAGTCAAAATTGTCAAATCAAAGACTGTTATGTCAAACAATATATTTTGCATCAGTTGAACTGCAGGCTACTGCTCACTAATGGTACCACTGCTATAAGCATTCCATAACTATGGAGTTGATAATAGACGGCTGTCAAAAGGCATCACATAGTATGGCATGCTCATATAAAGCTTGATACCAAATTTCAAAAAGCTCTATTTGAGAGTTCCTGATAAAAAATGGGATGAAAATTTCACGCATGGCTATTACTTGTAAGAATATACAAGATTTCAGTCAATAGGAATTTGATGAGCATTGGATGTAAAAATGCATCACTCATAATAGCATGCTCAGATAAAGCTTGATACCAAATTTCAGGAAGCTCTGATTTGTATTTTTCTATCTAGTACTATGTCATTTAGCATCATCACTTGATGCCTCTTGCAGTCGGGTCACCTTACAATATGTATCAACCCCTCTGCATCATGCATGAGGATGACATCCCAGGTTTGTGCATCTGCTAATAATGTCATAACCAAATTGTCTATTTACATACATGTATACCATGTGTGTCTGTCTATCTCCCACCTTGACATACAGCACCGTCCTTTGGTGGCTTTTGCAGTTAAGTTACATATCCAATACATTGCCAATTTATTTAAAGAACTTTTTCATGTTGGGGTGTGCCTGAGAAGGAGGAAGACACTGTTAAAAGTATATATATATATATTTATATGTGTGTGTAGTTCATTCATGTTCAAACTGCTTTTTCTTTTCTTTGTATGTATACTTGACTATTGTTTTTTTTTTTTTTTGTCTTATATTGTATTATGCTCTTTGTGAGCCCATTTAATGAAAATAAAACATCTTCTTCTTCTTCTTGTAGTTCCTGAGACAAATATAACAACAATTTCATGGGACAGACCAGTATAACCCTCTTCTGTGGAACAGTGATAAAAATATTAGTAAATTTATTTTCGCATTATAATTTGGTGCAGTGAGGTCTATCAGAAGAAACATTACAAACATACAGTCTCTTGTATCTATATACCTAACTGCCTTGCCCATATTAAAGATGTATTGTAAATTTACAATGAATGAACAGAAAATTAATATAAAAAAACAGATAAAAAAAGAAGCCAAATACTTTATAAAGAATCACTTTCCCAACATGTTCTATGTCCAGCCAAGGAAAAGATCAATGTTTGGAAGAAAATAAAATCAATAACATGGAATACTGGCAAATCAATCAAGTAACTTAATCTAATGAAAATCTCTATAAAGTAACCTATAAACTTTGGTAAATGAGTTATGACCTCAACTTCATATAACATGCAAACCAGTAAATACCAATCACTGAGGCATAGAGAACTATGACAACTTGATAGATAAGGTTACTGATTAACTGACAAATGCATACATACATTTGGTTTATGACTCTTTACATCACAAACTTATAACATGAAGAGTTCTTTTATGGAATAGGATTTTTATTTTCTTCTAAAAAAATTAAAGTCACTGGTTTATGCATGGGACCTACAAATCTTCTAAAATTAACAGAAAATCTGCATTTAAGACTTTCAATGACCCTGCAGATCTCCTTGCAGCAGAATGAATCTTTATATCCTTTCTTTAATTTTTTTTCTAAATTACCCTTTAAAAAAAATATTAACCACAATGATTCATCCTAACAAAAAAACATTACAATATTGATGATTAAGAATTCTCTTAAATGCACACTGTTAGTATTATTCCAAGTAAATACTACAGCAAAATACCTAAAACTGAGAAAACATACATTATCATGTGGTAATTTGTGCTGCTGACACATCGATGTGCACCTCCACATCTTAGTGGTGGTAGAGGATTTAAAAAAAAAGAAAGATCCATTGGGGACAACCACAAAAAAATGATTATAAGGGCGCTCTATTAGTGAGCAATTAAAAATCTGAAAAATAAACTAAAACACAAATGTTTTACCATAAAAGTGGGGGGAAAAAGGGATCAGTGCCAACACTCCATCCAATCCTATGGCTATGATCAGCCCCTGCATTTCCTTTAACATTGTATTCATATTTAACTACATTACACTTTCATTTCTACTCATTCCAATGAACAAAAAACATAGATGAACATGCCCCAACAACAATTAATAACATCAAATGGGTAGCTTGACATATTGTGTGGCCATTTTATCACTGAAGAACTACTGGTATGTGTATCTTATTGTTACAATGTTGAATCTTTGATATATATAAACACATATCCTTTCATTCATATGATCATTTCATTATCACCTTCAGTAATGAGATAATTCAGCAAGACACAATTACAACAGCCTCATAACTCTACCTCAAACAACAGGTGAACTTAATTAATTTTCCTTTAACTCAATGAGTTTATCATACTTGCATTTTATGGGAGTAGATTTCAGATTGAAGTAAGCCAATAACTGTACATGTTTAGTTGATGTGCAGAAATCTGACTCATTTTTCATCAAACCTGATCATAAATATATTTCTTTGGAAGTCTTAAGAAGTAAGAAGAAACCTGATTATAAATATATTTTCTTTGGTATTAATAAGAAGAATAGGAAGAAACCAGACAATTATTCCCCTTTCCCAGGCTTTTAATCACCCTTTATAATAACTTAGGAAGGGATAAACCAATATTTCAAGATCCACTAATCCATCCTTACGAAGTTCCCACCATTACATTTAGGATATCTTTATGTTTGTTTCTGGTTATTGTAATCGATTATAACATTAGCACTATTCAGAAGAACTGTGATGTCTGTTAATATCTGATTTCATTTATAATTGCTGATATCAACAAAACTTTATTCTTCAGCTAAACATTAAATGCAAGATGCAATGTTTTAATACAAGAAAATTTTAAGGAATATCTATGACAAAAAGTGAATGTATTTCAGACACTTATCAAAGAATGCTCATTTTTCCCAAAGCCTGAGTGCATTATCCCTTCAACCTTACACAAGCTTCAAAAAGCAATAAATATTCTCAATGATTGAACCATTTTCTACACTATCAGCATTTATGTCTTTTCTTTTTACTCAGTAAATTTCAATCAAGTTCTTTTCCTGTCAACTCAACAAATCTTTGTTAAAGAATATCATGCTGAATTTTATGATCAAACTCACAATGCACAATCAAGCAACATGCACATGCACTAAATGGAGTTTTCATTAGACTTAGATATTTTGATATGTAGTTATTTGTTATGACTTTTATTTATTTGTCATTTTATTTGGTGTTAAAGTAGTTAGTTATAAATGTATGATATTAAGGGAAAAAAAGTTTTTAAAAAGACATATTAAATATGTGATAAATAGATCAAAGTATTAAATCTTAATGCATTCAAAGCCCTTGACTAAACATTAAGCTTAACTCTTAGACTAAATATCAGTGTTCAAGAATTTCCAGGAAATTAATAAGACTTAAAGAATTTTAAAAATAAATTAATCCAGTCTTATTCCTTTATAACTTTCCCCAATTTTTCAAACATTTCTGGAAAAGTGCAGATTAACCTAAATTTCAAAGAATGCTTGAAGTGGGGGTTTTAGATGGACACAAAGGCCAGCATGAAAAAGTGTCATGTTATAGTCTTTGAAAAATCTTACAAAGTATATACATATTTAGACATAAGAAAAAACTGAATTTCTCCAACAAAATTCCTTCCTTTCCCCAAAAATCTCCATGATGATTTATGCTTGAATTTAAATTATGTATTTCCATAGAATTATCATACTAAATTTAAGTTTCTATGAATAATGGGCATAACAACAATAAACTTACTGACGTAATGGTAGCAGAGAAACCCGCTGTACATTTACCATGTTTATGATGTTGGTTTATATCCTTTGGTCGTTTGTCCACCGCTACAAACAAAATAAAGCAATACAATGCTGGTTCCCTGTTTCACAAAGAGCATTCCAATGGGTACAAATCTCACAATGTTTTTTTTTGTAAGTAATTAAACTGCCAAGGGTGTAAGTATTTTATGTAAGTCCAAGAATTCAGTTCAAAATTGAAGCATTACTATATAGTTATGTTAATTTTGTTAAATATTTATGTGATTAACATAGGTTATGTTAAATTATTAATGGAAGTTTTTCCTGTGATGCAAAGTTGTGATAATTAATATTTTATAGTCAACAAAGTTAGAAGAAAAGGAAAAATTTTAATCGATTTAATTTTAAAATGAGCAGAGTAATATCACCTGCCCATTTACTACAGATATTCTCGAGATTTCTCCTTATTTCAGAGGAATTATTTGCAATGCTACTTAAATCTAAAGTTACCCATTAAAGAAGGCATAGGCATAGTTCAGTGTTTCTGGCTAAATATTCACATTAGAATATTTCAAGTTCAGTTAATATTTCTTTGTTAAGGTGCAAAAAAGTGCTTTGCCATTTATTTAAGTTTGTAAAAAAGTTAGTAAATGCATCTCATAACCAAAATTAAGAGAAGTTAGCATTCTAATTATTTTGTACAGATCAGAATTTGTTCAGCTGTTTATTTTAAAAGTTTGTCCTCTTTTAATAACAAAGATGACTCAAAAATAAAACAATTATATCAATATTCTTATTGTACACACATAAAATATAACTATTGAAATAAATTAATAAAATAAACATTTTTTCATGTCAGTCACATTATGTATGTCATTTACATTAATTTCAGGGTCTCATGTACTCATTAAAAATAACTTCCTCCACCATAAATATTAATACTTTTAGCTAAAGCGATTATGTCATGTAACAATAGTATATCCTTAACCCTATAACAAATCATTAGTAGGTTGTGAGTAGCCACCTCAAACTTTTGAGCATTGTGTATATATCTCTTTGTATAATTATCAAACTTGTTTGATTTTCATGAAATTTTCTCTAGTAAAAGTAGAACTAGGGATGATTATTTTATTCAACTATTTTTTTTCTTTTTAATATAAAAATAAGGAGATGTGATATGTATGGCACGCCTGAACCACTTTTATCAATTAATCTTAGATTATCTCAGATAAACTAGGATTATCTCAGATAATCCCGGTTTATCTCAGATAAACTAAGATTATCTCAGCTTAATTCAAATTCGAGAAAATCCTAGTTTATCTCAGAAAATACAGAAAATTCATTATCTGGAGAAAATCCCGATTTATCTCAAAATATTAAGAAAATCTAGATTTTTCTGATCGATTTTCAGATAATCCTAATTTATCTCCAGATAATTAATTTTCTCAATTTCAGATAATGAATTATCTCATTTCTCGAGAAAATCTAGGTTTATCTCGGATTCTAAATATACAAAAGAACAATGTAACGAGTGTTTTAATTGGACGACACTGAATCCGGCGTTTAACGTTTTACTTTCTCTTTGAAACCATGATGGGGACGAATTCACTTCCTATTATTGGGTGAACGGGGATGTGCCAAAATATGGGTCATAATTTTGCGAGATTTTATATAAAAATTAGCGTCCTTTTCAGAAGAGGGGTGACATTCAGCATACGGCACGCAATTTTAACTGATCGATCGCTGTTATTGTGTCATTTATCACTACTCGTGGTGTGAACATCACCGTTATTGACACCTGGACAAGCGAAATTTGTTGAATCAATTATAAAAACAAGTAATATACAGAAGGGCTGATTATATACAATATACATATACTTTGTACATACGTAATAAACAAATTTGGTAGCTATTTCTTTTACACAAACTGACTGTTTATTACCGACGGCTAATTTCGACATCGATAATCATTGAATTCTCATATTTTAATTCATTCAGTCGGTTTTAATTTTTTAATCGTGACAAAGTTTTGTAAAATATTTAATTTTAACTATTGCGTTATTTCGTCATTTGTCAGTAAACAAAATAAATAGCACTAGAAAGAAGGCAACTAAGTAATCCAATACACAAATGCACGATTCAATTATGGAAAAAACAATTATTTCATCATGGTTATTCATTAGACATAATTTTCATTTTGTTTTCAAAATAATTAAATACATAAGAGTTTATATGCCACGAACCTTAAAGCGCGAGTTATTAATTGTAGGATATAAACAATAAATGTACATTGTCTGAATACAAAATGTGTGTGTACTCGCGAACACGGGTGTCATTCGGTTTATCGAGAGAAATGATCGTGAAAGAATATCTAACGGAGGTCAAGTATTGCGAGACGATCGTGAAAGCTCTGGTACCGGATCGTGAAAGAAATTTAATCGAGAAGACATATGAAAAGTTATTAAATAATCTAATTTAATTAATTACACGGACAAATTTACAACAAAATAAAACTGTCTGTCAAAATGGTCGAACATTATGATCAGTATGTGAGAAAATCCAGTTCTAAAAGTACATAGTTTTTACAAAACAACAAAAGGCATATTGCTCCTCGACATTTCAGTGAAGACGTTCATATTATTCTTCAATTATATGATAATTAATATTTGTTATTGGTATTAAAAAAAACTAGATTGGCATGACTGACCCGGGTCTCTTTTGCTGGTGAATAGGGCTATAATCGTGCAATGCCATTGGATCTAATATCTTATAATACCACACAGACTTGGTAAATTGTATCAATACCAGTCCATTTGTCCGTCCTTCATAAGTATTGTTTTTTTTATACATTAAGATGTTTTATTTTGTATTTATAACTTTGAATTCTCATCTTTATGCCCATTATATTTATAAAGCTTGCATACCTGTATGCTATAGGGCCACGGTATTTGGTGTATGGTGTACATGTCTGTCTGCATGTTTCATATATGACGTCAATTGTATTTGATATATTGAATGATAGTAAGATGTCTGTGTCTGACTGTCGGTCAGGGTTCATATACTTTCGACCTCATGTTCCGAATTAATTGGCCAAACATAACTTTTACATTTGTCAGTTTCTAAGGTACTGTAAGCATCGGAACACCTATATTTGGTGTACGGGATTTTTGTAGATATCTGTATGTCATGGTTCATCTAACCTTGACCTCTTTTTATGAATCATTGACAATTTTAAGAGTATGTGACACTTCTAGTAAAACCCTTAATATTACAGAAGTTCAACAAATATACTATCATAAGTAAAGCAGACGAGACATTTCAGCATTTGCGCTCTGGTATTCTTTATTCTGTAATATATAGTTGTCTCATTGGAAATCAATCCACATCTGCTACGTTGTATACAAAGATACATATAACAAAATGTTGGTTATCGTTCAATCTCAAATTTTTCATGAAAGATGCTGTTTTTGCTATAAGTTTTTGGTTGATGGTTAACTTTTTGGTTTGAACGTTGCATACCCATATTATTGGCTAAATAATGGCGGTCTGCCTGATTTGTACTAGTCCGATTCTCAGAGCTGAATTTTTCACACTGATTTAGACACGTTTTAAGTTAAATTTTTTAAACTTTAGAGGTAAAGTGTTGAATTTAAAAAACAAATGATAGCTTTCATGTTCGTTCTTATCAAACAAGTTACTGGCTTCAACCAGTTGCAGGTATATCAAATGGTAAAAGAAATATTGATTTCTGATTATTAAGTCTGGTCACGCATTATCTTTCACGATCAAAATAATGCGTTGCCTGATCTATCACGATCAAGTTTGATGAAAAATCAACAAAATTCAAGGTTTTCATAAACAAATGAACGATTTTAAGGGAAGAGCTTACTTTTATTTTACTGTACTTTCGGACACAACAAAGATTAAATTTCAAATATATCATGATATATTGAAATATGACCATTATAGGTACAAAAAACGTGTTTTTTTTAATTAATCCCATAGACATGCATTGTGCCTTTTGTGTTTTTTCATTAAGTACTGCATATTTTCTTTATCTTATTGCACAGTAATGTTGAGGAAGTTGAATCATTTTGACAGACATATTTTTTTGTTCGGATTTGTTCCGCATTTTGAAAATTCAGCGATTTTTTCACACATTCTGAAGTAGAATTTACATTTAATTACATTCACGATCCGGTACCAGAGATTCCACGATCGTCTCGCAATACTTGACCACCGTAAAATATTCTTTCACTATCATTTCTCTCGATAAACCGAATGACACCCGTGGCTAAGAAACAGGAGAAAACCTCTTCGTTCTGTTTCTAAATCTTGAACCAAAACGTTTTATTCTTACAGGTAAATGTAATTACAGGTGACAAGATTGTCAAAGCTTTACCTGTTATAGTGCTAATATATAACAACTGCCCCCAATAAATGTTCACATAACAGGAAAAAAGTAATAAAAGTTTGTTTAAGACTGTTCAAAACAATATTTTAATTCAGGCACGAAAAAGAAATTTTGAAAGATTTATATTCTTATGGTTTCTGTTCAATCTTTTTCTCAAATATTTTATTCTAATAATATCTTTTGACTCGAAAACTAGCATATATTTAAGGAAGGACTTATCTTTTTAGACAACCAGTTGGATTTTTGTCGAGCCTGCGACTTTTGTCGCAGAAAGCTCGACATAGGGGGCCGTTAGCTAACTTCTTAAAAGCTTTATATTTTAGAAGGTGGAAGACTTGGATGCTTCAAACTTTGTATATAGATGCCTCATGTTACGAAGTTTCCGTCTGTCACATGTCCATTGTCCTTTACCTCATTTTCATGGTTCAGTGACTACTTGAAAAAAAAGTTAAGATTTTTTGTAATGGTAATTTCTCTCTTATTATGAGTAACATGATAACTATGTTTTGTATTTGCGTACCTTGCAAGGTCCTCATGTCCGTCAGACAGTTTTCACTTGACCTCGACCTCATTTCATGGATCAGTGAACAAGGTTAAGTTTTGGTGGTCAAGTCTATATCTCAGATACTATAAGCAATAGGTCAAGTATATTCGGTATATGGAAGGACTGTAA